TTAATGTTTTTTTTCCAAAACATTTTGTGCTGCTGTAGAGCATAGCAAGAAATTAATAATATCTAACTGTCCAAGTTTGATGGAGTTTATGGAACAGCGGAAGCGCGGCTATGGATGATATGCAGAGAAATAGTCTTTTTGCCCTCCATCGTTGTCAGAATTTGCTCATGTAAACAATAACATGCAGGGGGTATACAGTTGTATATATGATTAAGTCGGTGCCTCACCACGTTGAGGCACTGATGTTGAACCACGTTGGTTGTTGTCCCTCTTGTAATGTACTTCAAGTTCCACTACTATATATATATGAACATAAATATAAATACCCCATGTCAGATATTGTTGCCATGTGGAGTTAAGAACTGTAAATGAGCATTTGCTGACATTTTATTCTGCAAAAGTAATATTTCTCTTGATTTGTGTATAATTTTTCATTCAACTTGCTGTCAGTGAGCAATACTCAGTGAAATGTTTTCTTACTCAGTGCATGACATCAATACATTATGGGTGGGGCATGTCCAGTAGGTGATCAGACAAAATGACCAACAACTGGAAAATCTTTGGACCGGGGACAATAAAATGAAATCCCAAAATGTCAAATTTTGTCACAAGTCATCATGCCTCAGATATCTCAAGTTATGTCGGAGCATGCCATTGGAATGTTGAGTGAAGGGACGTCCACCAGAGCAGTAGCTGCACGACTCAATGTCCATTATCAGACCATAGGCCATTTAAGAGTTTATTTCCAACAAACTGGCACGACTGCAAATCAACTTTATCCTCACAGGCCACATGTGATCACTCCAGCACAAGATCGCCACATCCAGCTTGTCCATCTGTGGGATCGGCTCAGACCAGTGACACACACAGCTGATGAGACTATTGATCTGCAATACAGATGCATCACACCTCAGATTGTTCCTAACCGCCTACAAGAAGCCAACCTGGACAAAATCAAATTCCTCAACCTGACCCTTATCGTGTTCAAAGGACTGTCAATCAGCTACAAATGGTCATACCATGATGTTGTCATCGTAGCATGATAATAACGTGGTATCGTGGCCATATGAAGATCAATAATTACTGGAAATATATTTTGAGTTTCTGTATATATTGTGGAACCCAAATGTTCATGCACTCTTTTATTTGACATGGGGTGTTTTATATTTTTGTTCATTGTACATATGTATATATATCTAGTACAGTAGATACTACCATACGCATTAAGTCCGACCAAACTTTTCTCGTTTTTACTAAATGCCTGAAAGCTTTGTCAAAACATTTTATGGAGACTTTTTTGTAACTATCCTCATGTTCAGAAGTTATCACACATTTGGACATTTAGTCAGGGATAATCATCTTTTAAACTGTGATTTGAGTCTGTGGTTTTGGGCATTTTTCCACAGGCTTCTGACACATTTGAGTTAATTGGAGTCTGACCTATTGATGTGTTTTAAAGCCACAACTTAAAGGGATCCAAAATTAGTTGTAATAATCAACTTATCTTGGAAAATATCTATATTAGACATAAAAACAATAAAGTAATAATATTGTAGGTTATTTAGCTTTGATAAATTTTAATAAAATATTTTGACAGAAATGTCGTTCACGCTGCAATGAATTCTGGGTAAATAATGTGTAATGGTCCAACTGCTTGGCTCCTCCAGCCAAACAGTGATGAGTAATGTTATTAGGCCTTTTTAATTTGAACTGGAGCGTGTTCAAATAGATCAGGACATAGAAATAACAAAAGGCGATGAGGAAGAGAACCAAACAGAGGAACAGGACAAAGTTGGCCGTAGGAGCTGCAGGTCTTTTGCTGCTGCTGGTACCTTCAGCTTTGTAAATGAAACAATGAATGACACTTACCTGTCGTCATCCACAGTGATATATGAGGTACTGGTTAAGCCATAAAACATACTTCCACTAACATATGCAAGTGGTGGTCAAGAAATTAGAATATCATGAAAAAATTGATTTAAATCAGTAATTGGTATATGTATTCGTTAAATACAAACTGATATATTTCAAAAGTTTATTTCTTTTATTAGTGACAACTAATGAAAACTCCAAATTCAATATCTCGGATAATTAGAATATTGTGAAAAAGTTACCAGCGAAAATGCCTGCTGCTACACACTAGTCAGATAATTAACTCAAAACACCTGCTAACACTTTTAAATGGTCTCTCATTCCAGTTCTGCAGGCTACACAATCATGGGGATGACTGCTGACCTGACAGTTGCTCAAAATATGACCTTTGACACCTTGCACAAGAGGCCAGGACACAAACGTTATTGTTAAAGAGGTTGATTGTATATAGGGCTCTGTGTTGAAGCAGGCGAGGCAAAGAAAAAGATGTGGTCCAAAAAAATTGCACAGGCAACAGGACTAAACACATCTTAAAGAGTAGGACTGCATAATCTTATTGATGTTATTTTTCCTTGTAAAGTATCAATTTTTCATTTGTGAGTATCAATATGTTAAATCCTACTCCAGTCACTTGTGTTCCAACTTGCACATACACATTAAACATGGCATGTAATGAAACAACTAATTACAACTAATTAATGAAATAAAACAGATACATTTTATTTTCCAATATAAGTGAACAAGAAAAAAAAGGTTCCTTTTCTGCATAACCGAAAAAACAAAGCCACACAATTAACATTTAACCCTCTCAGGCTCAAATTACTTGCAAAGACTGGCTAAGTTGTTGCAAATCTGAAACACCTGCCTGGAGAGGGTTAAACATGGCAAATGTATAACAAAAGCAATATTTATTGCATGAGTATTGCACCATGAGTTCAATTAATTCAGTCCAAGTCTATGGAACAGAGAGTAGGCTGCAGCTGGAGTCGGTGCTTCAAGAACAACCACACGCAATATGAGGGTTTGTTGTACCATGTTATCTGCTGGTGTTGGTCCATTGTGTTTTCTTAGGTCTAAGATCAATACAACCATCTACCAGGACATTTTAGAGCATTTCATGCTTTCTGCTGCTGCCCAACCTTGTGGAGACGCGCTGACAAGCTGTCTGCTATCTGAGAGCTGCACAGTACAGAGGATCGTAATTGAGTTTAATGACAGGGAACGCCGGGAATACAAGCGTTAGGTTTTGACAGTGAATTAGCAGTGATGCCAGCAGCTTGTTTCTCTGAAGAACAGACAGTAATGAAGAAAGAAGTGGTGAAACTGGTCAGAGTTCTGAGCTGCAGTTTTGTGCTGACAGTGTAAAAACACTAAAACTGCATAATATTTGCTTGGTGTGATGTACATTTTCTTTTTCTTTTTTCTAAAAATCGTAAAGTTTATACTTGGCAATTGGTTTACATCATTTTCCACATTACTTAAATCAAAAGGATTACACATTTAAAAAATTAAAGTGGAAGAATGTAATTATATTTATATGTTTTGGCCCCAATAAATTTCTGTAAGACAAAATATTTTGTCAGAACCAGAGGTGCTGATTCATTTAATGCAGGGGTGCTCAAGTCCAGTCCTGGAGAGCTGCCGTCCTGCAACTTTTAGTTGCAGCCTTACTCCAGTAGACCAGGCTCAGCTATGAACAGGCCTGGTAACGAGTCATTCATTTGATTCAGGTGTGTTGGAGCAAGGATGCAGCTGATAGTTGCAGGATGGTAGCTCTCCAGGACTGGACTTGAGCACCCCTGCTTTAATGGTTCTGATATCTGAATGCCGCTGCAAACATCAGAAGAGAGCTGACCAGTCTGGAGAGTCTGGATAAGTTGATTGTTACAACTAATTTTGGATCCCTTTAAGTTGTGATTTTAAAATACATCAATAGGTCAGACTCCAATTACACCCCATATCACTGGGGTGCCACACATCAACCAGTTAGAGAGAGAATTGCCAGCGGAAAATGCTGTAAAATGTTCCAAAAAGAAAAGAGATCTTAAAGTGATATGTCCTTGTTTAATTATGTGGGAAAAATCCCAATGGAGGAAAACCCGAAGCAACCCAATCATTAACTAAATATGCCAGTATGGATTATTTGGAACCACTTCTTCAAGTCATCATTCCACCCCGCAAGCTGTAGCTTGCAGTAAAACGATATTGCCACATTTAAGCTGTGATATCTGGCGTTAGCAAATAGCTAACATACACAAATGGCAATTGCAGTGTGCAGTGGAAGTCGTGCACATAATTCACGCAAAGCCTCATGGGAGCTCAGAATGAGATGAATAGGGGCAAAAACTTAAGATAATACCAAGGGCTCCTGACCGACAGGGGACCCTCCAACAAAATAGTTTCTTTTTTCTATAAAAATAGAAAAATAAATTGGGGGGCCTGTCAGTAACAAAGTTAATCAAAATTGCAAGCAGTGTCATACATCCGTGGTAGCTCAGCACCACTCTGGGCTCCTGGCAACTGTGGGAGATCTGGCAACGCCACCCGCCAGCCACCGCAAATGCTCTCATGCGGGTCCCTTTCTGTCAGATGCGCAGATGCATTAGGGTTCGGCATCTAATATTTCCACAGTAGCAGCAGCAAAACACCAGCTCCTCATCTTCATCACCTCTTGTGATTTCTAAATTCCGATCGATTTCAACACGCTGTTTCAATTTGAAAAGGCTTACTAACGTCACTGTTTTGGCTGGAGGAGCCAGGCAGTTGGACCATATGACTTCATTACCCAGAATGCACTGTAGTGTGAACATGACAGAATTTGTGACAATATTTTGTTAAAATTTCTAAAAATTGAATAAGCTACAGTATTATGACTGTATTGTTTTTCTACCTAAAATAAATATATCCCATATAAGGTCTATTATTGGAACTAATTATGGATCCCTTTAAATCTGGTTTCTGTTCAATCAGAAATCTTTGGAAATGTTTATCCAGATATTTCCAACTCGGAACCCTACCAGTTTCTCCCTAACCTCGCTTGGCCGAATCTGATTTAGGTTTTATGATGAGAATGATCGTTTAATATTCTATATAACACTGTCTCTACTGTTTTCTATTATGTACTCCAGGACTACATAAAGGTCGGTTCTGGATCACACCAGACCCGTACCACAATGAGGACAACATTCAAATTGGTCGGGAGGTCAAGATTAGCTGCCAGGTGGAAGCCACACCTTCAGACGAGCTGCAGTTCAGCTGGCTAAAGAATGGCCGGCCGTTGAAGAGCTCTGAGCGAATGGTCATCACCCACACTGACCCTAATATCTCACCAGGAACCACCAACCTTGACATAATTGATCTAAAATTTACAGACTTTGGCACCTACACATGTGTGGCATCACTGAGAAATGGAGGAATCCCAGAGATCAGCATTGATGTAAATATTTCTTCAACCACAGGTGAGATACTTTCTGGAATTATGATTTGGTAAATAATTTTTGCCACCAAAATAGTCTCTGTTGAACCCGAAACTGTTTTTCCAACAGTTTTGGGTTGGAAAAACCCAAAACGTACAAAGATGCTCCACTAAAAGATGACGACCTTAATGTCCTTCATGAGACCATGTACAGTTAGGGCCAGAAATATTTGGACAGTAACACAATTTTCGTGAGTTGGGCTCTGCATGCCACCGCATTGGATTTGAAATGAAACCGCTACAACAGAATTCAAGTGCAGATTGTAACGTTTAATTTAAAGGGTTGAACAAAAATATGTGATAGAAAATGTAGGAATTGTACACATTTGTTTACAAACACTCCACATTTTAGGAGCTCAAAAGTAATTGGACATATAAACATAACCCAAACAAAAAAGTTTTTTCTCAATATTTTGTTGCGAATCCTTTGGAGGCAATCACTGCCTTAAGTCTGGAACCCATGGACATCACCAAACGCTGGGTTTCCTCCTTCTTAATGCTTTGCCAGGCCTTTACAGCCGCAGCCTTCAGGTCTTGCTTGTTAGTGGGTCTTTCCGTCTGAAGTCTGGATTTGAGCAAGTGAAATGCATGCTCAATTGGGTTAAGATCTGGTGATTGACTTGGCCATTGCAGAATATTCCACCTTTTTGCTCTCATGAACTCCTGGGTAGCTTTGGCTGTATGCTTGGGGTCATTATCCATCTGTACTGTGAAGCGCCGTCCGATCAACTTTGCAGCATTTGGCTGAATCTGGGCTGACAGTATATCCCGGTACACTTCAGAATTCATCCGGCTACTCTTGTCTGCTGTTATGTCATCAATAAACACAAGTGACCCAGTGCCATTGAAAGCCATGCATGCCATGCCATCACGTTGCCTCCACCATGTTTTACAGAGGATGTGGTGTGCCTTGGATCATGTGCCGTTCCCTTTCTTCTCCAAACTTTTTTCTTCCCATCATTCTGGTACAGGTTGATCTTTGTCTCATCTGTCCTAATACTTTTCCAGAACTGGCTGGCTTCTTGAGGTGTTTTTTTGGGCAAATTTAACTCTGGTCTGTCTACTTTTGGAATTGATGAATGGTTTGCATCTACATGTGAACCCTTTGTATTTGCTTTCATGGAGTCTTCTCTTTACTGTTGACTTAGAGACAGATACACCTACTTCCCTGAGAGTGTTCTGGACCTCAGTTGATGTTGTGAACTGGTTCTTCTTCACCAAAGAAGTATGCGGCGATCATCCACCACTGTTGTCTTCTGTGGACGCCCAGGCCTTTTTGAGTTCCCAAGCTCACCAGTCAATTCCTTTTTCCTCAGAATGTACCAAACTGTTGATTTTGCTACTCCAAGCATGTCTGCTATCTCTCTGATGGATTTTTCCTTTTTTTCAGTCTCAGGATGTTCTGCTTCACGTCAATTGAGAGCTCCTTTGACCGCATGTTGTCTGGTCACAGCAACAGCTTCCAAATGCAAAACCACACACTGGAAACAACCCCAGACCTTTTAACTACTTACTTGATTACAGGTTAACGAGGGAAAGGCCTTTTGAGTTAATTGCAGCCTTTGGAGTCCATTGTCCAATTACTTTTGGTCCCTTGAAAAAGAGGAGGCTCTGCATTACAGAGCTATGATTCCTAAACCCTTTCTCCGATTTGGATGTGGAAACTCTCATATTGCAGCTGGGAGTGTGCACTTTCAGCCCATATTATATATAAATTGTATTTCTGAACATATTTTTGTCAACAGCTAAAATAACAAAACCTGTGTCACTGTCCAAATATTTCTGGCCCTAACTGTACTTATAAATGATTTGTCTCTACAGAGTAAGCATGATGAATACCTTTTAGTTTAATCATTATTCCTTTGCTCTGCACTCATAAGCAAGAAAAGTAATTATATCAAAATAATTATTTCAGATTTAATATTTACCAACCTGAATTTAGCCAGAGTTGGTGGTTCATAATTGGATGACTGACTTACATTTACTATATTTTTATCAAACTTTTGTTTCCTTTATTGTAATATATGTGCATGTAAACACATATATTACAGAATGAACAGAGGCAAAATGTTTTCATAAAAATTTATTTATTAGAATCACAAACAAGCAGATAATCAGCTGAAATATTTCGGGAGTGATGAAAAAATATTTGAATAACTTAAGTATATGAAAGAAGAGGAGCCAGTGAAGAAGATGGCAAGACAGGAGGAGGAAGAAGATCACCAAGAGTTTCTGGGAAGCTGCATCCAAACCTGGAACTGCTTCCTCTCCTCCTGAAGAGCCGCTTGCATAAAACAGTGAACTGCATGTAAGGAGATAATCAAATGGAAATATGTATATAATGCAACCACACAAATACAAGTAGTAGTGAAAATGTTCTGTTTAATGAATGCGTGTTGTTTTACAATATTTTTCTTCAAATGAATTTACATACTAAATAATTCCAAGGAAGGGAACAAGAAAACATTTAGAATATACTAGTAATTTAGAAGTATAAAAATCTCTAGAGAGAACTATATTTAGATACACATTTCAAACAGCACATATACAAACACATTAAACCCGTCATTTCGCACTTTCAGCCAGATAACAGGCAACGGAAAACGACAGAGTGACTTGCCAAGATTCAATTCAATTCAAATCCAGATCAGAAATACGTCATCGATCCCAAAAGGCAATTAATTGTTGTTTAACTCAAATTAATTCAAATTCTTCAAAACTTTATTGTAGACAGTGACGGCTGTGTGCAGGAAAGATCTCTGGTAGCGGTCTGCTTTAATCTGAAGAAAAGAAACCTCTGACTGAAGGCACTGACTCAGTTTTATACAATGAGTTGCATAATTCTAAGCACATAGAAAGGAAGCAATAGATATGCTTCTGAAAGCCTTTGATACAAAAAACTGAATTTAACCTTTGCTAGAGGCGCAGATGAAAACAGCTTGATTTCACGACAGAGTTCACCTGCTTATCCAATTTAAAAAAACTGTCAAAAATGACAACAAGATTCCTAACAGAATATTGTTAAAAGGAAGCAAGGGAACCCAGAATTTGATCAGATTTACTAACAAGGCTCTTTTGTCCAAACAAAATAACGAGTTTTATTGTGATTTAAGTGAAGAAAATTTTCGATGCACAGGGAAATATTAAATTTTTTGAAAATATGTCCACGAGGCAGCAAATACAATATAGGGCCTAAAATTGAACCTTGAGGTACTCCATAATTTAGGAGCGCTAACACCCTTAAATTATTTTCCCTCTTGCTCTCGGTGAAGGCTGATGCTTTTGCTTTTTTCTCTATTTTTGGAGCCTTTCTTTGCACATCTTTCAAATCTACAAATTATGGATTGATTATCCATTCTCTCGATGCAATTAATCAAATTATCTCGATGAGACAACTGGGCACAAGAGAGCCCTCATGTCCTGTGGGGACAAACCCTGGATTGATTCCTAATAAAAAGGATTTCTGCTGTTTGGAGCTTTCGGAGACCTGGATTATCAAAAATTTGTGACGAACTTGGCCGAACTAGCAAACACTCAGACTGTTGCTGAGGACAGAGACACAAGTTGGGTGTGAGTCTTCCTGAGACTTGTAGCCCAGCTGAAGACTCTAAAACTCACTAATGGAATGGAATCGATCTTGGAGAAGTTGCTCGTTTCGGTTCAGTGAAATTTGAATTTGAATGATTGGGAACTGAACAGAATCAGAGAGACTGTAGGGAAGAATTCAATTTATAATATACCCGACCTAACACATTCTGTATCTGAATTGGCTTTTCTCGTGTTGCTTTGGAAGGGCTGCATATTTCAAATCTCCTTGAAGATATGTAAACATAATGTTTCTTCCTACCTCACCCCATCCTGTTATCCATACAGCTGTCTTTAGGAAGGAAATTAGGTGGGAAAGAATGTCTTGTTTACATATCGTCCAGAAGAATTGAGAAAGGCAGCCAGCCAAAGCCAACACAGAGTAGTCACTCCAGTTAGCGACAATTGTTATTTTAGGTCTGGTAGACTTTTCATTTTCATCTGCTCCTAAAGTCTCACTGACACATCTCTGTTCCAGATTCAGCACTGGAACCTAGTCTGGATTGAGCTCATCCATTTCATACGTCGTTTTGCCTTGAAGAGGACATAAGAGAACACATATTACTATTCATTCTGTAAATTTGATAAACACTAGTAAAATTGTTTACTTTACAAGAATGGAAGAACCTCGATGTCCACTGACAAAACTCGGACTAAAATATAAGCCCGACCTTAACAAGGTTGAGCCACTTAAATGAACTCAACATAACTAAACATGAATACACCCGGACAAAATCATAGCAAAGCATGATGACACAACACCAACAAAGCAAATTTAGACACTCACCTGAATGGACATGTCTGGATCAAACTTTTTGGTATCTTGGGATGTTGGAGAACATAATATCAGGAAGTCTCACCGCTGATAGCCAGGACATCTGTTCCCCATGTTTGTGTATCCTATGGAACTTGACTGAGACCATTTAAAGACATATGCAGATGTTTCGAGTTAATTAACTGTGGTACTAGATGTCTTCAGTTCTGATCCTTTTAACAATATTAAAATTTTTTGAGATGAGTTTTCATTAGTTGTCTAATAATCAGCATTTGAAATATATCAGTCTATGTGTAATGAATGAATATAATATTCAAGTGTCTCTTCTTGAATGACATTACTGATTAGAATTTTTTTTCATAATATTGTAATTTTGTGACAATCACTTATGTTTTCAGTCACTTTTTAGCATACTAAGAGAATCTCTGAGTCTAAATATGGGTGTCTTGAGCAAGCTCAAAGAATGTTTGAATTCAGATCATTTAATTTAAGACTTACAGAAAGCTGTTACAGAGAACGCTTTTCTCTAACAACTTTCCATAAGTCATGCATAGTGTGATGTAATTTTGTGATAAAATTACATCACATTAATAATTTGTCATTTTGTCTCTTCCACACAAAAATGTCATTCAATATCCTAAAGATTTTTCAATGCCTTACCGATGGTGGTTATTCTGATGGTTCACAGTCATTGTATTCCAAACAGTTCAGAGAATCAAATATAGAACTGTTTGTTTGGTAAATAATTCATTACATGGAAGACACTTGGTGTTTCAGAATACTGACCACAATGATGTTTTATTTCCCTCTCTCTTCAGTTCCTCCTGAACTTTCAGTCCCAAAGGGGCAATCTCGACTCATAGTTCTGGAAGGAGACACTGTTGACCTCCAGTGTTTGGTCTCAGGAAAACCCAAACCCATCATTATGTGGTCTCGGGTCGAGGAGAGTGGGCAAATTGCAGCACTAGCCCCTGTGATGCCTGATGGCTCAGCAGAGATGGAGAGCTATGATGGTATACTGAGAATCTACAACGTGACGAGAAAGATGAGCGGGGCATACCGCTGCCAAACAAGCCAATACAACGGATTCAATGTCAAACCCAGAGAGGCCCTGATTCATCTTGTGGTGCAATGTGAGTAATGCACACTCAACACACATTCAAATTCAATTAAAGAAACACAATAATGAAAATAAAAATTTCCACATAACTGCATAAAATAATTTGTCAAGTTTTGTGCTCTCTTAAGTCTGTCATAATATGTTGTTTGTTTGTGGGCCCAAATGGAGTGGAGACATAAATGATGAAAAATGAATTTAATGAAAATGAATTTTCTGATTTTGCAACAAACTTACAAAATCACATTAAGCCAGGGCAAAAACACACAAAAAAAAAAACAAGTAAAAGAAACCACCAGGTAGACATTGGGTAGCACAAGGAAGTGACGAGGGTTGACAAGAGGGACAGGCAAGCAGTGACTAAGAATGAGAAGCTTAAATACTGGGGGGTTGAATGTTGACCAAAAGACCTGGACTGATGAGGTAATTGATTTCAGGTGTGAGTGGAGGGAGCAGGAGACAGACAGAGGAGAAGGACAGAGAAATTTGCACAGGGGATGAGGGAGAATACACACAGGAACAGAAAATATATTCAACACTAAAAATACCAACACCAAAAAACATTGAAAAGCTAGAGTCACAAAGAATAACTATAAACAAGAACTAAACATAACTGGAAACACTGAGAACTGAACCAAAGGAAAACATGAACAAAGTAGATCTAACCAAAATAAGAAACAGAAAATAACAATGAAACTAGAATCAAATAAAACAAAACAAATCAACCTGGGATCCTAACATTACTCCCCTCTCACCAGATATCGATTAAATCCAAAAATCAAGAAAACAAAAACAACCCAACCAGAGTTGGTGGAGGGGGCCTTGAAAGGAGGGCAAGGGACAAAACACAAAACAAACTAGAGTTGGACAAAGGAGAAGGAACCTTGGAAAGCAATGAAGGAGCAGGGCCTTTTGATAGCGTCCTTGGAAAGTACCAGCAGAGCAGCATCCTGAGAAGGCGGCAGCAGAGCAGGGACCTTGGGGACTGGCAACAGAAGATTCTGAAGTCTGGAAGTTGTTGGTGAGGGTGGAGGAATCCATGAAGACAATCTGTAGGTTGGCCTTTTGGCCAGTGGAACCCAGGAAGAAGATCTGGAGGTTGACCTCTCAGCTGGTGAAACCCACAAAGGAAATGGAGGTTGGTCTTTTGGCCAAGATCTGAGGTTTGCAGATCTTGGAGGCCAAATGCAGAAGAGTTTGATGCAGGCAGGCTGTTGCTCCACATCAGCGTGGGGCCAGCAACACTGCAGCAATCAGAGGAGCTTGAAGCTTAAGAGCTATCATCCACTGAAGGGATTTAAAGTCCTCCTATAAAATCCTTGGGAAGGCAACTCTTGTTGAGGCTTCGGAGGTGGAGAAGGTGATCTATTTACAGACAATGATGTTAGTTCACTTTTTTCAGTAATGCTTTGCTGTTTCAAATCTAGTACGCAGATTAAAGTTACTTATTCAAATCCCTGTGTTAACGTACAACAACACGTTTGTCATTTTCTCTTGTACTTTGATTTAATTTCTTCAATGTGTCTTGGAAAGTGACTGTTTTTATGTCATTATCAGCACTTGCAATGATACGGTGTGACAAAATAAACAATGGAGAGAGAAGAGAGATACGCATTTTGTTGCTGGAAAAACAATGATAATATCAAAGTTTGTTGTATCTTCTGTGCTGGCAAGAGAGCGCTGTCTAGCTTCAAAAATACCACATCAAATCTGAAAAAATATTTATAGTTGCAACACAGCAAGGTCAAAGTGATAGGGCAAGACACGCCATGTGATTTGTGAGCTGTGACACGAGGTCCCTCACCACCCAAATAACAAAATCTTGACTTGGGTACAAAACTTGAGCCCCTTTCATCCTTGAAGCCCGAAGTGCCCTTATAGAGTTTTTGTTGTTTTTTTTTTCAATTCAATATCCTCTCACTCCAGCCATAAATTTCCTCTTTGGTGTTCCTCTAGGCCTTCCTCCTGTCATTTCTATCCTCAGTTGTTCTCCACTGATGTACTTACTTCTCTGTACATGTCTAAACCATTTCCTTCTGGTTTCTGTGACGTGATCTCCAACACATTTGACATGAGCTGTTCTTCTGGTGCATTAATTTGTGATGTCAAATATAGAACTTCAACATCTTCACCTCTGCTGTCTCTAGCCATGCCTCCTGTGTCTTAGTTATTACCGCTGTCTTTAAGCCAAACAACATCACTGGTCTCACCACCGTCTTTTACACTTTTCCTTTCATTCTCGCGCATCACAGCCAACACTTGAACATCCGTTCCAACCTGGGTGGACATGTTTCTTCACTTCTCAATGCTTGCCTATTGCTCTGGACTGTCGAACCTAAGTACTTAAATTTCTTTCCCTTTTTATTTCTTTTCCCTGTAACCTGCTGTGTCCACCTGGGGCCCTCTCATTCACAAGTATTCTTTCTTGCTGCGGCTAACCTTAATTTCTCTCCTTTCCAGGTCAAACCTCTACCTCAAGATTTTCCCACATTTTCTCAGCATGTGAATATACATGGTAATGAGTGAATAACTGAAGGGAATGCATTTTGGAATCCTCTGGACTTGATAAAGCACTACACAAGAACAAGCCATTTACCAGTTGCTTTCATCACAGATCATCTGCAAACATCATAGTCCATGTATATTACTGTGTAACCTCATCTCTCAACCTATCCATCATCACAGCACTCAAGAACAAGCTCAGAGTTAATCCTTGATGAAGCCACACTTAGACCTTAAACTTTCTGATGCTCTTACAGCACACCTGATCATGGCACCACTCTACGATAGTCAGGTGGACGTACCTGACTATCGTAGCATACATGTCCTACATCACTCTAACATACTTCTCTGCTACTTTTCCCTGTACAGTACAATACATCTTGAGAGGGTTCCTTTTTTTGGAAATTGTTAGAATTATAAATAATTACCCATATAAATATTCAACATTATCTTTAAGGACTGTGAGATTCCTTTACTTAATTCTGGAATTTGAGTGAGAGAAGACATCTAAGCATGCCAAATTGGAAACAGATTCCAGCCACTCTGGAGCCAAAACTGAGAGCTGACCTGACAGGAAAAACACCTAAAGGCTAAAGGTCAAAGCACCAAGACAGGGGACTCCATTGTATAGAAAAGATTTAGGACTGTGTGTTAGCAGCTGTTAATTTGTGTAATTAGAAATTTTAATAAAAGAGGAAGAGGGGGAAAGAAATCTCAGAGCAGGTTTAGGAGACTGCGATTGAGAGATCAATTTCTTGTCTCTCATCTTTTTCTGTGTGAAATTGCTGAGGTTATTTGAACCTGACAGAACTCCATCATATGCGTTCTCAAGATCTAACAAAAAAAAAACAATGCAGCTACTGCTAATATTCTCTGTAGTTCTCTATCAACATTCATAAAGCAAATTTTGCAGCTGTATTACATTTTCTCAGCATAAAATCACACTGTTACTCAGAAATGTAACTTTTAACTTAATTCTGGCTTCAACGACTTTCCCATAATCTCATTGAACAACTCATGATACTTCTATACTTCAATTTTGGACATTTCCCTTGTTTAGGTATGTTCTGTATCTCTCGTATCTCACTGGACAGCCTAGTCAAAAACTACAACTACCTGTCCTAGCTACTTCTGTACTTTCACAGGTATATCAACCAGTCGTCATCCTTTTCAATCTCTTCCTTGCTTCATCCTTACTAAGCCACTTCCTGGTCCAATGTGTCAGCTTCTTCTCATCTTTGTTCTCATTTTCTCCATTCAACTTTTTGAAGTACTCTTTCCATCTTTAACACTTTTTGCAATCCTCTTTACTCTCCAGGCTAGTCAGTGTGCCATACATACTTCTACCTTCACTTCACACTATATCTGCCTCTACTCAGTCAGCTCCTCTTTGAAAACCACACAACTTTCTTCCTTTTTCAGCTTGCACCAGTTTGTCCTTTGCTTTGACTTTGTCTTCAGTCTTTCTCACCCTAATTCTCTGCACATCACCATCTTGTATTGACTGGCAACCCTTGCACCTACCACAGTCATTCATTCAAATCTACAAACGTGTGTTCTGACATTTCCATGGCGCTCTTCTGCAGAGCTGCAAAGGTTAGCTCCAAGCTGAGCTTCTGTCTCACAGAGCACTCCTGCCTCTCAATCCCCTCAATGAAGTGCACATTGAGTTCATCATACAAACATTGAGATGACAAGGAGTTTCAGAAAAACCACCAGCTTCTTAAAGAAACAGAGGTCAATTTTGAGGCATTAATTTTCAATGTCAATGTTTTTAAAGAAATGTTTAATTAATATACAGTAATTTTATAACAACTGAAGTTGTAGTTACTTTAATGTGTTACAAAATTGCACTATGTGCCTGGAAAATACACAAAGTCGCCCTTTTAAAAACTAGTTATGATTTTCTTCTCTGTATTTCAGTCACTCCGACTGTGAAGCCTGTTTACACAGAGGTACGTCAGGCACTTGGCCGACCATTCACCCTCACCTGTAACTTACTGCAAGCTTACCCAGCTCACCATCTGCAGTATGAGTGGAAACTGGGCTCACGCCTACTCACTGTCGGTCAGTTTAGTGACCAAAGCCATGACACCAGTTACCATGTTAAAGCTCTGAACCGAGAAGGCTACGGCGAGTACACCTGTAACATCACCAATGAAGCCGGGGCAGGTTGGTGCACCTTCCTTCTTACAGGTGAGTGAGTCAGTTTGAATGATAAAATTATACGTTTTAATAAAGTATGACGGTGTGTGTGTGTTGGGATGGTGCGATAAGCACATGATAAATTAAAGTGAGCTAAATTATGAAATGAGGGTGAGAATTTTCAGATGCTTGATTGTTTTTGTGGAGTCTCTCTTTCTACCAAAGGCACTGGATGACAAACAGCTTCACTCCGGCACAGCAATGACGCCTTCCATCTTGTTTCTTACAGTAATGGGGAAAAAATATGTGGAGCAACAAACAGCAGCAAAAAGTGTCAGTTTTGCATCACTTGGGTGAAACACAAAACATGGGATGTGAGAGCGACAGTATGGACAAAAGTTGAACAATTTTCAACTTTCTTGTGTTGCGTTGCTTCCTTGTGTCTGAGACTAATGGTAAATATATATTTTGAAGGGCAAGGTTGTTTACAGAGACTTCATAACCCAACTTATGTATTTATGGTTTTGTCATGAAAATGCGGGTGTGGGTAGTGAGGCAGACACTTGGAGACTCAGGTAAAATGAATGATGGTTCTTTAATGATAAATAATCCAGAAAACACACAATCCAAACACCTGGCAGCATGACAGAGCGGCAGCCAGGGCTCAACGCCAGTAGCAACAGGTGAACGCAGTGGACAGAACTACAGGCCAGACTGACTGATGCGTGACACAAAAGGACAGGATCCGACAGAGATGATTAAATACACAGGAGGTAATCAGGGTATGAGACACACCTGGGAATCAATCAAGGGGGAGACGGGACAACACGGAAACACAGACACAGAAAATAAACACGCAAAAAACTCAAATCATGACAGGTTTATTGATATATTTTGGATATTTAAAATGTTTAAAAAGAGCCAAAATTAAGACAGACCCAATCATGGCTACTTCCGTGTCATAAAAAGCTATCTCCATTCCAGTGACCCACGGTCAGCGGAGGAAAGTGAGGCAGAGCCTCACCTGTCAAAATGGAAAAATATTATTAAATTTATATTGTTATTTTCACCCTGTGGTTTGTACTGTAAAGTATTTATATTTCATTTAGCTTAACCAATTTTGATTATTTTTTCTTCAAAACCACTGAATTTTCGCATTCAGCAGCGAAGCGGTGAGGCAGCAGAGAGCTGAGCCTCACCTGGGATTGATCAACCTCTCACTAACTGCACTGGCTGCCACTCTGTGAGAGCACCTCTCCTCCTTTTTTTCTATCCTCACTTGAAAAATTGCAATTAGAAGATGCTGATTAGATTAGTACAGGTGATTCAGTATCGTCATCCAATCATGTTTCTGTCAGGAACATATCATTTATCAATAGACCTTTAGCTGAAATAAATCTAATATTTAAAACATCCATTTTAAGTGAGTTGGTGATTGATAGTTTCTGAGATTGAGGTTTCTTTAGACAGGAAATCAGTCTGAGGTTTGAATTGAGACAGCTGTGTTTTACTTTTGTGTTTTTTGTGAATTTTCTTATTGTAATCTGGACATCTAATGTCATGATTCATTGTGCCAGGGGAGGGTTGGGGTCTGTAAATTTGACAAACTCAGGTCCGTGGAGAAGACATTTCTTCAGAGGGGAGTCCTGCTGACTGCTGAAGGAGGAACAGCTCATCCTCCTCTTTCTTGTCTTTACTGATAACTCTGCCTGTGAATTATTTTTAAAGCGACAGTTTTTAAAGTTATATTTACATTATCCTATTAACTGGATTACTCCAAAACCTAAGGACTGGGGGATTTTCTTACTTTTATTTTTACCTTACTTTTCTTTACCTCCAAGTTAAACCAGGGCAAAATGCCTCCGGCTGACCTCAAGGACATGAGCAGTATTTTACAATGATTTCAGTCTATAGAAATGAAGATTAAACTGCTGGAGGTGAACTTTGAGATCAACGCTACCTATAGAAATGAAACAACTCTTCCTCAAATAAACGGAGAGGTCGTGCGCCCTGCACTGAGCAGCTCACCCTGGAACGCTCTGGGTGCCAAGCCGAAACGGGAATCCCTCACTGCGGATCCAATGAGACGACTCAGGGAGAACTGGATGAATCAGTGTGGCCGGCTCTGAGCCGAAACCCACCTTCAACTTCAACACCTGCTCCGCCAAAGAAAGACAAACAAGCAGCTGCAACCAAAACAAGACATTACCTGTCCGGATCACAAGAAAATTGACAAAAAACAGAAATATGAAATACAGCGGTCCTAATTCAAACCTCAGACTGAAAATCTTCTTGCCTCCAAGCCACTTAAAGTAGAATAGAAAATATAAAAAAGGAGGAGGCGTGGCTTCTATATTAAAGAAAACCATAAATTGTAGTAAAATTTCTTTGGGTCATTTCACATCTTTTGAGTATCTTGGAATTCAGGTTAAAGGCTTCAAACGAACTTTGACACTAACTTTATACAAAACTCCAACATATGTGGAAAATTTCTTTACTGACTTGAATGATCTTCTATCAATAATATGCATTGATTATGATTGTTTAATAATTGTTGGTGATTTCAACATTCATGTGGACAAACCTCAAGAAACCTCATCTAATGCTGATGGAACAAGTTTTCCAGATACTTTTCAGAGAAAATTCAAAGAATCAGAGGATTAATCTTCACGTCAACTCTAAAGCCAGAACCATTGCTGTACCCAAACAGAACAAACACAGAAAAAATGACCCATTTTCAACTGCTTAATTTTAAACCCTAAAAGAAATTATAAGTCAATTAAGTTCAAGCTCCTGCTGTCTGGATGTCCTTCCCACACATTTCTTTAAGAAAGTCCTGCCTGTTATTGTTACTGATCTGATCCAAATTGTAAACTCATCGCTTACATCAGGTGTTTTCCCCCAGGCTTTGAAAACAGCAGTCATCAAACCACTGTTAAAAAAGAACAACCTGGACAAATCACTACTGCAGAATTACAGGCCGACCTCTGACCTCTGACCTCCCATTCATCAGCAAAGTTATTGAAAAAACTGTGTGTAAACAATTAAATAGTTTCCTCATGATGACCAACTGCTTTGACTCTTTCCAGTCTGGTTTCCATGGTTACCACAGCACGGAGACTGGCCTAGTCAAAGTATTCAATGATATCCATATAAATACGGACTGTGGGAGAACCACAGTGCTGATTCTGTTGGATCTCAGTGCAGCTTTTGACATATTGCTGAATGGACTGGAGAGTTGGGTCGGACTCTCCGGTTCAGTGCTCGACTGGTTTGAATCTTACATAAAGAACAGGGATTTCTTTGTTTCAATGGGAAACTTCTCATCAAAGAGGTCAAAGGTCACATGTGGGGTACCCCAAGGTTCAATCCTAGGACCCCTCTTATTTAATATTTATATTCTCCCACTAGCTCAGGTTATAAAAGGTAATAATATTAGCTACCATAACTATGCGGATGACACACAGCTTTGCTTTAGGATGTGACCATGTGACCTTTGACCCCATCCAATCACTGAATAAATGTTTAGAACAGATAAATATGTGGATGTGCCAAAACTTTCTCCAACTGAACAAAAATAAAACTGAAGTCATTATTTTTGGACCTAAAGAGGAACGATCTAGAGTCAATGCACAGCTTCAGTTATTACAACTAAAAACTAACGATCAGCCAGAAACCTGGGAGTAGTGATGACCTCTGACCTGAACCTTGCGAGCCACATAAAGACAGTTACAAAGTCGGCCTGAAGAACATCTCCAGGATTAGAGGACTAATGACTCAGCCAGATCTAGTGAAACTCATTCATGCGTTTATCTTTAGTCGCATTGATTATTGTAACAGTGTCTTCACAGGCCTGTCCAACAAATCAATCCTCCAGCTGCAGCTGATCCAGAAGCTGCTGCTCCTGTTCTCACTAAAACCAGGAAGATAGAGACATAACACCAGTTTTAAAGTCCCTCCACTGGCTCCCTGTAGCTCAAAGAATAGATTTTAAAATACTCTTGTTAGTTTATAAATCACTGAACGGTTTAGCACCACAATACATCAAAGATCTGCTGTTGTTTTATCAACCTTCCAGAGGCTGAGGTTCTGGTTCTGGTTCTGCGCTGAATCCCCAGAACCAGAACCAAGAGAGGAAAAGCAGCTTTCAGCATCTATGCACCAAAAAATTGGAACAAACTTCCAGAAAACTGTAAAACAGCAGAAACACTGACTTCCTTTAAATCTCAACTAAACACACACCTGATTAGAGTTTTATTTGAAATGTAATATTTAACAATGTATTGTTTATTCCGTGATGCATGTTTTTGTGTTTGTTATGATGTAAAGTACTTTGAAATGCCTTGCTGCTGAAATGTGCTCTACAAATAAAATTTGATTGATTTGATTTGTGACTTCAATGAAGGAGCGGGGCCAGTCACTCCGATTCCAATTGATTTTTTTGTCAGTTTGTTTTGGAATAGTTTGTTTCTGATATGTGGAGGTTTGAACCTCTGTTGAACTCGGTAATCCAGAAAATGAATCTTTTTTTTCTGCTGTTTGGAGTCATTGTATTATACTGCTGTTGTTCTCAATGTCGACCAGAGGCATCTTGCCCCGTCTCAGCTTGGAAGGGGAAACAGTAGACTAAAAAGTAAAAACGTTAAAAAAATAATCCAACAGGTTTGAAGTCATGCAGTTCTGATGTCAATAATGTAATTCTAACTATAAAAACTCTTTAAAATAAGTCAGGTAAAATTATCAATAAGGAAAGAGAGATCAGAAAAAACTTCCTCTTTCAGTCAGAGCAAATCAATGTCCTCTAGAAAGGAAATTCTTTCCCCTTTTCAGTTAATTGAAATCTAAATCTCAGTTACTATATTTAGATTTAATAGATTTTAAGGAGTTGGAACCATCACAGCCGAAAATCGATAAGGATTTCTGATGGGGCAGGTGGATAATGTCTCAGTGTAGGAACAGAAATGATGGTGGTGACCCATTTAGATGTAAGCAGATCTTATAAATTTCAACAGCAGAATACTGGAGCAGTGCTGTCGTTGGGTCATGATCGAATGGGACAAACAGGACATTATGCCAGGCTTGTACAACTCACACATAGCAGCTCCAAATAGTTGCCAAAGACATGGTAGCAGCAGGTAAGCTGATGATCTTTGTAAAAACAAAACAGAGACGGGTGCCAGGTCGCTTACTGAATAAGAAGACTGTCTTTTCTTTACACATGCCAGTCGCTTGTTAATTCAAAGACTTCAAACAACAAAATTACCAAAAAGACATCTTATAAAATACATAACGTATGTTCAGAAGTGATGACCTGTTTGAAATGCACCCCACTAGAGAACCTTGAATCTAACAGAACCACACAGCTGTGTCAATGTCACTCTGAAAAGGCTTGGTTTTACAAATTTATCAATGCCCAAAAGTTTTGTGTCTTCTTGTTTAACTGGTGTCTCTATTTGTCCCCCTCCCTGTTCCATGACCCTTACAATCTCCTCAGGAAAAGCCTACAGACCAGAGTTTTATCATGACACCTTCAATGCTCTGTGGGAGAACAGACCTCAAGTCTACGGCTTCAAACTTCAATGGACTCAGATGGAGCCCAATTCTGTGGATCGAATTATGGCCTATCGGCTTGGCATCAGGCAGGTGAGACTCTCAGATCATACATAAACTAATACTGTTACATTCAGCATAGTTTTAACTACTTATCCGTACCCATAATATAGGAATAGGAATGCAAATGTGTGAAAAATTTCCTTTACCTTTCCAAAAAGGTTCCAGAAATGTTTTGAGGTCCAATGGATTATTTTATGTCCTTGTTTTTTACAATGTAAAAAAAAACACTAAAAATAACATCATAAAGAATCATAAAAGGTCTCAAAAAACTCCTCATAAGCCTTATCCAGATCATTTTCTTTGTATATTAATTGCCAGTCTTGCTTTAAAAAAAATCTTCTAAGTGCTTCTTATCAATATGAATGCTGGCAGGTGACCATTGATGTCATTTATTAATAATCCACTTTCTAATTTGCTAATTTGTCAAGCAATGTGGCACTGTGAACTGTTATTCTTGTGGGTTTTGTGATTTTTGGAATTAAGCTAATACTGTACACGTCAATGAAATCCTATGCCTCTTTGTGTGGATTTAGTTGATTTCAAAGTTATCACCAACAAACATAATGCACTGCATCCAATTTTTCACATTAGTAAAGTGTTCCTCTGTCCAGTTCTTAAATATGCTTACATAAAATATATTTTCTGTTTTTTTATGTATTTCAATTGTACATGCACATTGTTTATGACACATTACATTTTTTCACCACTTTATACTTCACATCCACATATATAGCTACACCACCGCACTTTGTCCATGGAGATCAGTTTATAATTGGGTCAAAATGATCACATTATCGCTGTTTATCCAAGTTTCTGATCTTAATATAATATTGAAGCAGTAGGGGAGACCAGGGCTTGTTGTAGCACTCTGTACACTGATATTTCTTGGAAGCAAAACATCATGTCATGTTGAGTTAAAGTATTTTGGCCCACATACAGAACACAATCAGGAGAACAGGAGAGGAACAGATAAGTAAAGTTTATTTTGACAAGGATGAAATGTGAAATTGTGTGGTTCTTGTCCTGTGGATGGAAGTTGGGGTTGTCGGTACTCTGAAGACAATGGGAGAGAGATGGTGAGTTGAAGGAATATCGGACAAGTGAACTTCAGGGGAAAAATGGACTGATCTTACTGTGTGTGATAATGTGCTTCCGCCAGGGAGAGGTTTACTGAGGTCTCTTTGCAGGGGCTCTTGAGATAATCCAGGTTCCATAATTGAAAATTATTTGGAGGTAGATGGTAGAGGCCCTGGTGGAGGGTGGACAAGTAAGTTCTTGAAAGGAAAGGCAGGAGCGATCCGACTGCCAGCTGTGAAACAATTCTTCAACAGAGGCTGAAGTATAACCCCAGAGGGCAAAATTCACAGCGTTATGAGGGGAAAACCAGAAACCAAGTAATTCGGGTTACACAGTGGGTAAAATCCATGGCGCCACAAGGAAATACTTGAGAGAGAGGCAGTAGGAAAATATTACTAGAAATAATCTCAGAGAAACTCAGATTGCTGACTCAGAGGGGCGCAAAACATGATAACTGGCAAACACTCAGGTGTCGACGTGCTGGCAGTCCATTCCTTTATACTCCTAGGTTATGAGGTGATTAATCACAGGTGTGCTAACTCCAGTCAGCAGACACGCCTCCAGGTAGTGCAGCCACTAGAACAGGAGTCCCAAACGCCCGGACCATGAACCAATTGGTACCGCATTGTGCAAGAAATATTATTTCCATTTTGCGTATTATTTGAGTCTGGAGGCTTTTTTATTTTAAAAATCCTGTAACCGGATTGCTTCGATTATGTCTTGCATGCCAACATTGAGCCACAAGCAGCAAAATGAGTAAGAAACAGATCAGATTCTATGGAAAGTTTCTTTGTGAAGAAGAAAAGGCCCAGAGAAGAGACATGGGAATGGATTTATCCCGATAGGTGATTCCCACATTCTACCCCACTCTGCATGACATGTAGTGATCGCCTCGTTAATGAGGGAATGAAGCTCAAACTGCTTCATCACGTAGAGACCAAACACCCTGTGCATAAGCAACACTTCTGGTGTCATCGTCTCTCATCACTCCCAGATGGGACCGTCTCGTTGCAGAGAAACAAGCTCAGGGCTCCCGTTAGTTGTTATCGGAGTTAAAATTTCAAGGTAAAATGTTCCTTTTTGTGTCGCATCTGTGGTCGAGACGAGTCCAGGCACACCGCGGGTGCAACACACCACTTGTCGTGGTTGTGGAATCGGGCAGGCGTCGAGGTCCGGATCCAACACAGAGAGAGCACTCAAGTCCAAGTACAGATGTGTGGAAAGAGAAGAAGAATTGTAAGGTGGGGGCTTGACTCCCTTAGTTTTAGAAGCAGTCACAGAAGCAGAAATGTTTTTAGATTTAACAGTAGAAATAGAAGCATTGTCATCTCGCCCTGCTATTTCTCCAGAATCATCTGTACATCCAGACATTTCTTTAGCATTTGTCTTTTCCTACGGTCATTTTCTTCCATCCAGCTTTCCAAACTCTACGTTTCTCAAGGTCAATAAAGACTCACAGTCTCCATCTGTCATTTTGTCTCTTAAAGTATATTCTCTATGTTCTATTTCTCTTTGTACTCCTTTCAAAACAGAGAATCAATGACCCACCGACAGGAAAAATACCACTTTTTATTTATTCATCCACACCATATACACTTTTTTCTCCATATTTTGTTATCATATAGTCAAACAAATCACCCTGAGGAGGAGATTGAATTTTGGAACCACGCAGACCCATTCTGCTTGAATTGGGTGGGATCTCCTCTTTAGACTGCGAACGTCTTCATAGAATCCCAACAAATCAGCTTTGTGGTCGCTCTGTTTCTTACTCAATTAAGAGAGGCCTTCATTCTAAAAGGTCTTGAGGATCATCTAAAGTTTTACATCCCTCAGTTTGGAAAATCAAAACTCAAGGAAATACCGGCCTTATGTACTGATAAGGACTTTCTAGGACTTTAACCTGTACACCTGTGGTTCCTTTTCTCTCGGTCTTGAACCCAAACAATATACAATTTTTAAAAATTATTTTATTTACTCTTCTTTCTTTCTGGGACTTTAACTCAGAATAACACCAACTTTTATTCCTCAGGGTGAAAGTTTATCAGATCCTTACCATTTTATAATTTAGAATTTGTAAAATTTTATTTAGTAGCCTGAGTGAGTATCCCACCTGATAATAGTGGTTTTGAGTTTGTTGATCCCAGCGCTGGAGCCGTGGAGACGACCAACAACCCTCTTAAATCCTATATGAGGTTTGAGGCTGAAATTTAGACCAGGTTGGCCAACTGTGAAAAACAAGCTTCCAACCTCGTACATGTAACTCAAATAGTTCCCTCAGTTAGAGTTCACAAAGATTTCAAATGACTTGACTAGCAGATGCAACCTTATTGTCAAGAATTGGTGGTGGTGAGGTGGTGAGGCAGACGCTGGAGACCCAGGTAGGTGTATGGTGAGAAATTTAATGAAAATAAGTCCACAAAAACACAGAGTCAATAAACAATAGTCCGCGGCCAGGCAGCACGGCTGAGCAGAAGCCAGGGCTCACACCGGTAGCAACTGGTCTAAAGGGCGGCACAAAAAAAACAACGACAATCTGACAACAATACGACAACGACAAACGATGACAAGGACCCGACGAGGAACAGAGGACACAGGAGAGACTAAATACACTGAGGGTAATCAAGGGAACGAGACACACCTGGGAACAATCAAGGGGAAGACAGGACAAGAGGAGAACTCAAGACACAGAAAACTCAGAATAAAACACAGAAAAACACAGAACCTGACAGTACCCCCCCTTAAAGGGCGGCTACCAGACGCCCAAAAACAAAATCCAAAACCCAAAAAACCAGGGTGGGCGGAGGGGCGACGGAAGGAGGGCCAGAGTCCAGAAAACAAAAAACTACCCACAAAAGGTGGGCGGAAACACAAGGAGGGGCCAAGAGTCCAAAACTAAACAGAAAGAGGGCAGAGGCGACGAGGGGGGTCCGGAGGGCGTCCTCGGCGCCCGCGGGCAGACCCCACAGGGGAGGTCCGGAGGGCGTCCTCGGCGCCCGCGGCAGACCCCACGGGCGAGGTCCGGAGGGCGTCCATGGTGCCGAGGAACACTAGGGGGCACTGGAGGAACACTAGGGGGCACTGGAGGAACACTAGGGGGCACTGGAGGAACACTAGGGTGCACTGGAGGAACACTAGGGGGCACTGGAGGAACACTAGGGGGCACTGGAGGAACACTAGGGGCACTGGAGGAACACTAGGGGGCAGTGGAGGAACACTAGGGGGCACTGGAAGGAACACTAGGGACACTGGGGAACACTAGGGGACACTGGAGGAACACTAGGGGACACTGGAGGAACACTAGGGGACACTGGAGGAACACTAGGGGACACTGGAGGAACACTAGGGGACACTGGAGGAACACTAGGGGACACTGGAGGAACACTAGGGGACACTGGAGGAGCACTAGGGGACACTGGAGGAGCACTAGGGATCTCGGAAGGAGCACTAGGGATCTCGGAAGGAGCACTAGGGATCTCGGAAGGAGCACTAGGGATCTCGGAAGGAGCACTAGGGATCTCGGAAGGAGCACTAGGGATAGAGGCTGCCGGAGCAGCGGCACGAGGAGCAGACTCCACGGAAGCCGGAGCGGAATCCGGCGGAGCAGGAGCCGGAGCCGGAGCGGAATCCGGCGGAGCAGGAGCCGGAGCCGGAGCGGAATCCGTCGGAGCAGGAGCCGGAGCGGAATCCGGCGGAGCAGGAGCCGGAGCGGAATCCGGCGGAGCAGGAGCCGGAGCGGAATCCGTCGGAGCAGGAGCCGGAGCGGAATCCGTCGGAGCGGAATCCGTCGGAGCAGGAGCCGGAGCGGAATCCGTCGGAGCAGGAGCCGAAGCCGGAGCGGAATCCGTCGGAGCAGGAGCCGAAGCCGGAGCGGAATCCGTCGGAGCAGGAGCCGAAGCCGGAGCGGAATCCGTCGGAGCAGGAGCCGAAGCCGGAGCGGAATCCGTCGGAGCAGGAGCCGAAGCCGGAGCGGGATCCGGCCGAGCAGGAGCCGAAGCCGGAGCGGAGTCCGGCCGAGCAGGAGCCGAAGCCGGAGCGGAGTCCGGCCGAGCAGGAACGGCAGCCGGAGCGGAGTCCGGCCGAGCAGGAACGGCAGCCGGAGCGGAGTCCGGCGGAGCAGGAACGGCAGCCGGAGCGGGGTCCGGCGGAGCGGCACGAGGAGCTGAGGATGGAGCTGGGGCTGGAACTGGAGCCCAATGTTTTTGCTGGACGAACTCATCATAAAGTTCAAAAACTAGCTCCAGCATGGAAGAGTCTCTTTTAAACAACTTGAAGAGGTGATTGAAATCTTCCTCTGAATTTATTTGGAAACCGGCTGGAGTTAGAAACGGAGGAAAGTTGATGGTGGCTGTCGGGGCGTGAATTTGTGAATTCGCCATGTCATAGTCCGACGGTAGTCCCATTTCCTCCAGCAGCAGCGGAGAAGGCAGGATCTCCACATCCTTGTAGAGATTCTTCTGTGCCAGCTCCAACTGCTGCTGGATCCAGTCCTCACGGTCCATCTGGGCTCTGTATCTCTTACGCCTCACCATAATTCCTTTTTTGGTCGGGTCCTTCTGTCAAGAATTGGTGAGTAGTGGAGGTGGTGAGGCAGCACGCTGGAGACCCAGGTAGGTGTATGGTGAGAAATTTAATGAAAATAAGTCCACAAAAACACAGAGTCAATAAACAATAGTCCGCGGCCAGGCAGCACGGCTGAGCAGAAGCCAGGGCTCACACCGGTAGCAACTGGTCTAAAGGGCGGCACAAAAAAAACAACGACAATCTGACAACAATACGACAACGACAATCTGACAAGGACCCGAGGAGGAACAAAGGACACAGGAGGGACTAAATACACTGAGGGTAATCAGGGGAACAAGACACACCTGGGAACAATCAAGGGGAAGACAGGACAAGAGGAGAACTCAAGACACAGAAAACTCAGAATAAAACACAGAAAAACACAGAACCTGACACTTATTTTGATCTTTTCCATGACAGTTCCCCACATCTTTGCCTCACCAGATAGAGAGATTGTGTTGTTGCCATTTCCAGAACTTCCAAAAAAGGCTGTAGGTGTTAACAGGTGGTTTGATTTGAATGCACTTCCAACTTGATTGTTTTGTAAACAATATGCAATTTATTTCTTGTAAAAGTAGTGACAAAAATAATTACTAAAGTGTCTTACAACTTAGTGTAGAATGAACAATAATCTTAATTCAATGTTTAAAGCCCAAAAAATGGTTTTCTACAAAGTGGTCAAAAAAACCATTTCCAACCTCCTGTCAACACAGACATTTACCAAACAATAGGCCTCCACCCAGCACCCGGTGTGTTCTTAATTACTCAAATTAAAATTAAATTATCGGGCTATTTCGAAGCTGCCTTTTCTTTCTAAGGTTTTAGAAAAACTGTATACCATCAGCCGAAACAGTTTTTAGATGAGGATGGTATTCTGGAGGTTTTCCAATCAGGTTTTAAAACTCTTCATAGCACAGAATCTGCTTTAATAAGAGTTTTTAATGACATCCTTTTAGCATGTGATTCTGGTAATCATGTTCTGATTTTACTTGACCAAACTGCTGCCTTTGATACAGTCGACCACGACATTTTAATATCGCGATCACAGCATATTGCAGGTATTGGTGACACTGTTCTTAATTGGTTCAGGTCCTACCTGAAGGACAGAACATTTTCAGTAAATATTAGAGACTCTGAATCATCTACTGCTTCAATGTCATATGGTGTACCACAGGGCTCAATTCTGGGCCCACTGCTTTTCTGTCTTTATTTACTACCTCTGGGTTCTATCCTTAGGAAACATGGGATTTCATTTCATTGTTATACTGACGATTGCCAGATTTATTTACCCTGAAGCAGAAAGATGTCCAGTCAATCAAACATCTCCTGGCATGTCAAGGTGATATTAAAGCTTGGTTGACTTTGAACTTTTTAAATTTTAACGAAAAGAAAACAAAGGTGATGGTGTTCGGACCCAGTGGCTCCTGTGAGTCCTCCTCTGTTGACCTGGGACCCTTGGAGGTGTATTTTAAACCTGTTATTACAGATCTTGGTTTTAAGGTGGACAATCATTTTAAATTGGACAGCCACATGAGAGCTGTGGTTAAGTCCAGTTTTTATCACTTAAGGCGATTGGTATCAGTGAAATCTTTTCTTTCCAGGCAGCATTTTGAAACAGTGATCCACGCTTTTATTTCAACTCGAATGGATTATTGTAACTCTCTATATCTGGGAGTCAGTCAGTCACTGCTCTCACGTCTACAACTGGTTCAGAATGCGGCTGCACGACTTTTGACAGGAATTCGAAAGAGAGAGCATGTGACCCCTGTCTTGGCTTCACTTCACTGGCTGCCTGTTTATTTTAGGCTCCGTTTTAAAATTCTTATGTTTGTTTTTAAATCGCTGCACAATCTTGCCCCGGCTTACCTCACTGAGCTTCTTCATCCTTACATACCTTATCGGTATCTAAGGTCTGCAGATCAGTTGGTCTTGGAGGTACCGAGATCTAGACGGAAGCTCAGAGGGGACAGGGCTTTCTCTGTCGTGGGTCCTAAGTTATGGAATGACCTGCCTTTGCAGGTTATAGAGGCTCCTTCACTGTCCATTTTTAAAGCTCGTCTTAAAACCCATCTATTTTACTTGGCTTTCAACTCCAGCGAGATCTAGTTTTACATTGTTTGTTTTAAACTGTAAGAGTTTTTATTTGTTTTTATCTATTTTATGTACAGCACTTTGTATCAGCTGTGGTTGTTTTAAAGTGCTTTATAAATAAAGTTGGTATGGTATGGTATAATAAAAATATTTATTTTTGGATGCTTTTAGATGATCAAAGCATCTAAAATCATCTTAAACATCTAAAATGTTTTTAATCAACATTATCAACATTTAGATGCCTTTCTCATCTAAATGATAAAATTTAGATGATAAAAATATGATGTAAAATTTTTATAATCTAAAATGACGATAAAAATCCTGTACACAGCTGTAAGGTCTTGCACCACGAACCATTGAATTAGGAAATTCTTTACATCTAAAGTCCTTCCAGGCCATGACATTTTTTTTCATTTACTTCTGTGTTTGTCTCAGATGGATCAGACTCGCTGGTGGGAGCAAGAGATTCCTATTGGTGGACCCATCCAAAAGGGGCAGCTGCTGACTTACAACCTGACAGAACTGATCAAACCTGAGTCCTACCTGGTGCGTCTCACCCCTATTACCCGATACGGTGAGGGGGATGCTTCTGAACGCACAATCACATACAGCGGTGCGTTATTGTTTTATATATTGCTAATTATAACAATATTTCTGTGTTTGACGTGTCATTTTACGGACAGTATTTTTTGCAGTTTCAAAACTTTAAAAAATGTGAAAACTTTATTATATTTCAGAGAAAGGGCTGCAGTGCTGTTGGAATGGGTTAAAAGTGCTGTAGCCAGCGATTGGCTGAAACATAGATTACCCCAATGTGTGGACCCGTTGAGATGTTTGGCTGAAGCAAGAAATCTGACTGGTTGCTGATCATCCAATCAGATTGACCATTTATTTAAAAAAGACATTTGTGTATTGAGATGTCAGGGGAGTCTCAAATTCACACACAGTGAAACTCACAGGCCAGAAACAGCTTGCAAATCAAGATATATTTGTGTTTGCATCAAAAATACAAGTGTGAATCTTGATCTGTGCATTTGTGAATTATGAGACTGTTTTAGCTCCATAGAATTGCTGGAGGATATTTCTCACATTGTATCCATTTTTCCTGCTTGCCAGTGACAAACAGACATCTTTGGATGTCAGTTTGCACTTCCTTTCCAAATAGATGGAAAAACCAACAGCCATGGTCTGCTAATCATTCACACATCTTGCTCCCAGTATTTAGGAGGATGATCAGCATACCTGTTGCATATTTATGAAAACAGACATATTGAATTTCTTGCTTGCTATTCGATCATCTGGGGAGACATCTTTGGGGGATGAAGACTCAGTGGGGTTCAATCTTTAACAGAAAGAATGAAGACTGTTGAATGGAAGGAAGGAAATGGGATGAGGCTGATGGGATGGGATGGAAGGATGGCAAGACGGAAAGGCAAAGAGGGTGAAAGAAAGAATGATATTAAGTGAAATGTTTGAGTGTAAGTGAAGGTGGGGTTGCAGGAATGTAACAGAATGTGCAGTATGGGTGATCTGAGTAAAAATAGGCTATTTGTGAAATTAAAGGTGTGGCTTTAATTTCACAAAGTTGTGGGCTGCTCCCAAACCTCAAATTAACATCTTTAAGTCATCCAGGACTAAATGTTGGCCTAAATATGTTTAAATTTGTTCATGTTCATGATAGTAAAAAGTTAGTAGCAGGCCAATTGTAGCTCCAATGAAAAGTAGATCAGCTGAGAGAAAACAAAAGGTTAACAATTCATCGTGTTTTTTGGAGATCAGGGTTCTACAGGCTTTGGAAGATCAAGTCCCAAAATCTGACAGAAATTGAAAATGTGTAGGTTTTCTGATACTTACACCTTGTTCCAAATTATTATGCAAATTGGACTTAAGTGTCACAAAGATGAATTTTTTTGTTGTGCTATTAAATTTATAGATAGTATTGCATTATCGTACTTTGAAGAGATTTGTGGCTGATTCAGAACAAAGATGGTTTGTACAGATAAAGGCATAATTAGGAAAGTTTCTATCAGACAAATTCATGGGAGTAAGAGAGCAGCTGTTAAAATGCCCTTACAAAGCAGCAAACAGATATTTGAAGCTGCTGCTGCTGCTGCTGCCTCTTGAACCTCAAGGCGGAGGATCCTCCAGAAGCTTGTGGCACATCAACCTACTATTGGCCCCTAACCAGAGCTCACAAGCAGAAACGGTGGCAGTGGGCACAGCCGTACATGAAGATTCATTTTCATATAGACCTGCAATGACTGCAGCGTTGGACTGCAGTCATCGATGGATGGTCCAGATGGACGCAGTAGTGGACTGGTGGTGGACGGCCATCACATCCCAACATGGCTGTGATGTCAGCAAGGAGGTGGTGGAGTCATGCTTTGGGCCCAAGAGCTGGTTGGCCCCTTTGGAGTCCCTGAAGGTGTGACAATCACCTCAACAAAGTATATGGACTTTCTGACTGATCACTTTCTTTCATTGTTCAAAAAGAAGAACCGTACCTTCAGTCGCAAAATCATCTTATGATGACAGTGAATGCTGCAAGAAATAACACTGTGTCACTGGCTGCTATGGGCATAAAGGGGAGAAAATCCTGGTGTGGTCACCATCCTCCTCTGACATCTGACCTCTGACCCTATTGAGAACCTTTGGAGTTTCCTCAAGCAGAAGATCTGAGGGTGGGATGCAGTTCATATCAAACAGCAGCTCTGGGAAGATATTCTGACATCCTGCAAAGAAATTCAAGCAGAAACTTTCCACAAACTCACAAGTTCAATGGATGCAAGAATTGTGCAGGTGATACCAAAGAAAGTCCAATATTAACATGTAACTTGGTCTGTTAAGATGTTTTTGATTGAAATAGCTTTTGATTTTAGAACATGTGACCACTTAATGCTGCACATTCAAAGAATGACCGTTTGCAGTTCTTTATAATTCGTAAAATGTTTAGAAAATCTGTTCCATAATAATTTGGAACAGTGCATTTTGAGTTTTTTTATTTTAGAACAAAAAATACTGTTCTCATGGGAACCTTTGTTCAGTAAAATGTGATTTATACTGTAACAGTTTCATGACTTGAAAATTACACTGACCATCATTTACATTGACCTAACAAAAGGTGACCTATTCCACAAAGTGTGGCCTATGCCCTGAATGACACTACAAGATGACGCCATGCCTGAAAGTAGTTTAAGACAGGTTCAAGGTGTAGTTAATGGTCTGGTGGATCATGGAGAATTTTCTCTCAGATGGAGATTTGTTCATTGTAATTCTGAGGTTGTCTCATTGATGAAGTAAACAAATGAGGTCACATTAAGACAGTGTCATCTGCATGATGTGGCATCTAAAATATTTCTGAACACACTTGTAACCATTCTTTGTTATAACAGGTTAACCATGTCATAAATTTTCTTATTCTTTCATGTGTATAAATAGGTCAGATTTGTGTCATTTGCACTATGCAGTTTCCCATTGGCAACAATTGTTGCCGAATGTAAAACCTACATCTTCACTAACATAGCCAACATAAAATGTAATAATTCATAAATATTATGTGTTTTGGGAGGTCTAAGGGTTGAAATGCATGCACTTATTTTGCAGAAAAAAAAATTGGGATTTAAACAGGTTAATTATGTTTGATCAAAATAAATCCTGAGCTTCTGGTTCTATGCAGATTATCTGATTGTACTTTTTTCTGCTCTTCTGCAGCTCCTGTTAACCCACATCTCAGTAAGTATCTGTCCCCAAAAACAAGCATTTGCAGAAACTGTTTCTCTCACTCTCGCCAGTCTGGCTTCTGCTCTCTCCTTTTACATCTGGAACCATTTCACTCATCAGCCCAGGTCTTTTGTTCAGTAGTTCACAGCAAAGAAAGTTCTGTTTGAAGAGCCTGTTTCTTTTAATACAAGGGATCAAATATTGCCTATCCATTAATAATTATAGAATATTTATCCCTATTTTATTATGGGGTTAAAATTACCCCAAAAAATCAACTGCCTCTGTAAATAAGCTTTTTGCACTTCCCAAATTGTACCTCTCATCATGTCTGGTGTATTTTTGATGCTGGAGAGCAAATCAGTTGGTTTCTTTACTCTATTGTCTATTTGTCTGACAATAGAATATTAATAAGTCTCAATTTCTCAGTGATACATCCAAAGGCAGTGATCTGAAAATGTTCACAATCGGTAACAGCTCAGAGTTCAATAGAAAGAGGTTCATCCTGGAGTAAGAATTATGGACTGGTGAAAAATGTGAACATTGCCACTTAGTGAGAGATAATATTCTCCATGGGTCTACTACACTAAATGTTTTCATAAAACTTTGAACAGTTTCTGTACGCTTTAACAGTCCACAGAAACTGTGGATCCAACAATAGTTTAAAATCCCCTCAAAATTTTATGTGAATTCATATTTTGGTATTGCATAAAACAGGTCAACATAAATTTTTCAGCATTTGTGGCATAAATACTGACTCAAACCACTAAAACATTTTCTGTAACAATGATAGAGGAGATATATCTACCTCTAATGTTAGAAATTTCTTTAGTTATCTTAAAGAGCATGTTTTATATAATTATTGCTGCCCTCTGCTTTTAGTATTAAAACTTGAATGGAAAATTTTAACTTTCCAACTCCTTGGCGTAGCCAGTGGTGTTTCTGTTTCTGATTTAGGCAGCATGGGCAACTGCCCAGGGTGGCAGCTTGCAGGGAAGGCATGAGCCCTCCTCTCCCTGGTTGTCAAATCCCTCCAACCCCTGTACTTACAACTGGAAGATCTGAATGTTAACAGTATCTGAAATATCATAATACAAACACCTATTACTCTCCCTCACCTCCCTCCACCCGCTTCAACAACTTCATGGAGGAGAATGGCTGGGGTGGAAGCCGTCAAGGTGGTTCACCCAGGGCGCCAAACAGGCTAGAACCTGTTTGGCACCTATGTGCAGCATGTCTCTCCCTTTCTTCCACACTGCGCAAACACAAGGCAGCAATAGTAAGCAATGTCTTGTAAACTTCAATGTTCTGAGAGTGAATGGGGTAGTTTGAGTGTTGTGATGAACAAAATACCTCGAGAGTGTGGGATGTCAAAATGTATCAACACCACAAATTTATTATATTTAAATATCAAACACTTGACGGAATATGGGTATATCAAGACTGTCTCCAGGAAAAAAATGCTCTCGCTGTTGGACCGCTGCTATGTGCTACTAATGTAATATTCACAGACTTAGCAGCACTTGAGCTCTATCAGACTGTAGACTCTCACATTGAACATCTGCTTAAAGCTGCAGTATGAAACTTATGTATTAAAATTTTGCTATGTCCTAACATTAGACAGATATTCTGTGGAAAAAAAAATCGAGCTCTTCTGCCTCCTCCCTGTATTCTACAGAATTACACTGCTCAGTCAGAAACAACCATTCAGAGCCAGGAGGCGAGTTTTATTTATTCTTTACAGTCGTCCTTTGGACTGAATACTTGGTGCAAATTGCCTGCAAGATTTTTGATATGCTTTTGTCTAAATTAGGTCATTTTAGATTTCCATGTTGTCGGCTCATATAGCCAGTACCATTTATACCTAAATCAAAAAATGAACAGACAATCCATGTGATCGGTATCAATGATCAGCAATAATCGGCCCCCATGGCTGATCGGAATCAGGAGCAACAATTTTGTTTCTTGTGACACACTGAAATATTCCTCCTTCCTGATTTTCTGACTTTGTACTGTTTCATTTAGAAGTTTTTTTTTTTTTTTTTTAACCTTTTTCCAGAATAAAAAAGCATCTTCTTTTTACAGTCCTTATATTTAGCAAAATCATTCATCTTTGTTTGATTCTAACCACATTCAATTTGGCCACATTAATACTTTGATTTAATAACATAAATCCGGCATTGTAAATTCATCATCAGCATTGTGAAAAGTCTAGGACTTTAGGAAATGTACGTTAAATACCTTATTACACTAATCTTTATTGTAGAGGAGTAGTGGTCTTTTAAACTTTCCTTGGCAATTGAATTCTTTCATGACCACTCAAACTCCAGTATTTGAATTTTTTTTTTTTTTTTTTTCAATTTTAAGCTTAGGGAGCATTTTCTTTTAACATAAAGCCTGGTTATTAGATAGTTGCTTCCCATAAAAATAAGGAACTTTATATTTCCAGAGGTTCAGAAGAAATGTGTAATGAGGGAATAATTTGTCATAATGATGCATCTGTAAAAATGTCACCTTCCTAAGAAAATGGCCTAATATTTTTTTTTCTTTCCAAAAGTGATTTTTCTTTGACATTTAAAAGGGGTGTGATATTTCTGCCCTAACTACTTTTTGCAAAAAATGACATATGCCAGGAGGTGATAATAACCATGTTTGTTCATTGTTTCAGATCATATGTCTGTGTGTGTTTAGGGGAGTTCCACTGTAGTTTTGAGGAGGAGGCGTTATGCTCATTCTCTCAAGACAAGTCGGATGAATTTGACTGGATAAGACAGAGTGGCACCAAAGAGGGCACCACATACACACCCAATACAGGACCGAGCTCTGACCACACCGGCTCAAGTCCAGGTACATACGCACACAAACAGAAACACAGACACATATAGCTCTATCCAACAGAGAACTTTGTATTCCATTTATTTTAGTAAGTAATTTATGCCTAACCCCATAAAAAACTTGTCTGCTTGAGACTGGAGGGGGACATGGTGCCTTAACTCGTGCACTGCTTTGGTCTTATCATGTTGAAAAAGGGCTGAGTTGAAAAGAGAAGGTCTTGATTATAGTCTATGTTTCTATCTTTGGACATGAATGGTGCTACAAATTAGCTTCCTCTATTTGATGACTATTTGACCCACTAGTAAATGGAGTGTTCAGTACATCAAAACTTGTTCGGTAAATGTTTTTCATCTCCTCTTTTCCATTAACTCTTTCGGAAAAGCCAAAAATAAGCTCAAGCGAGGCCCCTTTTTTTCAAAATTAAGGAAGTCTTCAAATGTTCATATTTCCATTATTCTTTTCTAAGAAAATACTTCAAATGTGCAGAAGAAATACTGATAGAAACATGGCTTGAAAATAAAATAAAAAATTACATAAGAAGAAAACCCCAGGAACCTTTGGTGAGAGAATATCCCTTCTGGTCTTAGTGTCAACGTTGTGGGAAGCATTTTTTTTGTTGTTGTCTTTTTGTTGTTGTGTTACATCATTGCAAATGTATTTTACTTTAGGTATGTATCATTATTTGAATTTTGCTGTATCCTGAACAGATTTTGTCCTGTAAGTAAATAATTGTGATATTATGTTTTAAAAAAATAAATACAAAAAACTATAACAAAGTAAAGGAAGGGAAATGTGTGATTCTGGAGACCTGAATAGGACCTGGATCAACAGCTTGAATGAAGTGCCAGATCAGAGGTGTCAAACTACAGTCCTCCAGGGCGTTGTCTGTCCTGCAGGTTTTAGATGTGCCACAGGTACAAAACACTGGAATGAAATGGCTTCATTACTTCCTCCTTGAGCAGATCAGATCTTCAGAGCCTCAATGATCTAATTATTCTATTCAGGTGTAGCGTGGCCCTCCAGGACTGGAGTTTGACACCTATGTTTGAGATGATCAAGCTTACATTTTGCTGATGAAGTAAGAGCCTTTGAAGGAGACGTTGGGTTCTGCTAATAAATTTATATCGATTGTTCAATGAGGGTAGATCAGCATGGATCAGAGACATAATCCAAAAATTTGCACAAAACAGTAGAATGTTGGAGAGTAGGCAGACAGATGGGTACTGAGAACAGAGCAGTTTGGACCTAATGTCAAGGACATCCACAGAACAAGACACTGAGACACTGGCAGCGTAACAGGGTGTTATCAAGTGCTGAATGAACCTACAGCTAGGCCTGTCGCAATGAACAGTAAATCAATTAATCGCACGATAAATTAAAACAATCAACTTCATTTTAATTATTGGCTTTATGGTCTTCTGGCCTTTTTCATCTTTCTTTTGATGACACTGAATTCCAGTGCTCTCCTCCAACCCTACCTTGCTCATTTCCTTAGTGTAGGCAGTCCTCAAATAGCGGGGTGCGCCCCACTGGGGCGGCACAGTGCGATGCCTGGGGGAGGTGCGTGTAACCCAATTTCAAATTTTCTTATTCACATTTTGGGAGTAAAATGGTATAGAACAAAGTGTAATTACACATCCACTACAGTAGGGGTCAGTGGCCCGCTACTGAGCACATGGAATAGGGTTTTTTGCACAGAGCAAGTGCAAAGAGTGCATAAGTGATATAAAGTGCAGTTAAGAGACACCATGGAAAAATATTTAACAGGGATGAAAAGAAAGGCAAAGAGAGACCAAGATAATGAGACAAACAAAAGTTTTGAAAGTTAAGATGACAAAGGTGGGAGATGCGGAAAGACACTGGTCTATTGTGTCTTAAAATGTTTGATATTGGACATGAAACCCAATAAATGAACAGCTTTGCACAATTGCCCTACAATTTGTCGAAGCAACTGACAGCAACAAAGACTGCTTGTTTGTGTTTTATGTACGTTTTGGCATTACAAACGCCCTGTTTGAGGATCTACTTTTTGGAAATATGTTGGAAACAGAGCTACTCGGAATCCTTGAGGAACTGCATTGGCGTTTGCAGTGATGGTGCACAGACCATGGCAGGGATGAGAAAAGGAGTTCAGGTTCTCATCAAAAAGGCCTGAGTGGACACACTGCGTTATACATAGAGAAGCACTATCTTCAAGGCACCTGACATCATAGGTATTGTCAATTTTAGAAAGACCAGACTTTGAAAAACAAGAGTCTTCTCTGCTATCTGTGAGATGGGAGCTGAACATCAAGCTGTGTTGTTTCACAGTGAGGCAAGGTGGCTGTCACCAGGAAAAGATTTGTCCTGAGTTTTTGAGCTCAGAAAGGAGAAAAGAATGTTTCTGGTTCAGGAGCACAAGTATGAAGTGAAAAATTAGTGCTGAGAACTATCTGGCAAAACTGGGCCTACCTGAGTGACATATTTGGAAGGCTTGATAAACTGAATCTACAGCTTCAAGAGAAAGATAAACACCTCTCTCAGGTCACAGAAAAGACCAGCTCTTTCACTTGAAAGCTTGCAATGTGGAGCAGGCGACTTGATGAAGGAAATACTGATTCATTTGAGAACCTGCATGAACTTGTGGACAGTACCGAGTATGATGCCACCTCAGAGATTCCCTGTATCAAGCAGCATATTTGAAAAAGGTTCCCTGTATGACTGGGTCAGAGATCCTTTCAATCCACCGTCTCCTACTGGTTTCAGCTCTGCAGAGGAAGACCAGTTCATTGACATGCCATCTGCCTCCACATTGAGACTGAGGTTCACATCACAGACACTGTGTGAATTCTGGCTTAGTGTAGAGAAGTGTCCTCTCATAGGACAGAAGGATATGGACAATCTTATTCCTTTCACAACATCATATCTTTGTGAGACTGACTTCTGTGCTGTTGCTGTACTAAAGACCAAGTACAGGTCTTTAGTACAGGTTCAAGCTAAACATTGAACTGGACTTGAGAGTTGCCATGTCATGCTTGAAACACTGCTTCGAAAAGCAGTGTGCTGCAAAATGTGCTCATTGTAGCCATTAGTCTTGACTTTCTCATTTTGAACAAAACAAAAATTGTATTCATGTTAATTGTAGGTTAAAGTGTTTAATATATTGTGCTCCAGAATTAATGTTGCTGTTCAATTTCAATTTATTTATTGATTTTATTTTTCAGTATCAAATGGCAGTCTGTTCAAAAATGTCGATTAAATAAGGATTTTATTTTCCCCCATCTCAGGCAAATTGATGCACTTACTAATTTCTTCTGGTACAAACTACAAAACAAAGTTAATAAAATTGTTCTTTGTTGATAGTGCTGTATTTCTTTTTTGTTTTTCTATACTATCAGTAAGGATACAATTTATTAAAAAATATAGTGCTTCTCAATTCCAGTCATCAGAAGGGAAGCCACACACCTTTCTGCCACACACCTGGATTGAATCTGTGGGTGATTAACAGACTTTAGGGTTAGGGGTTAGGGTTAGGTTAGAAGAGGTCATGTAATCATATGGATCACCTGTTCTGGAATAGAGGCACATCTAAACCATGCAGAGCAGGGGGGCCTGACAACTGGTATTGAGAAACAAAAAAGCATCAGCTCCCTGCAGGGCCGTGTTCCAAGCCCCCTCAAACACAAGACTACACAGTCCAGCCCACAATAATAATAATTGCATTGTCAAGTTTGCTAATACCATCTGTGAACTCATCTCAGGGTGACAGGGCAGCCTACAGAGAAGAAGTCTTGAAGCTGGCAGCCCTGTGTTCAGAAAACAACCTCACTCCAAACACCAAGAAAACCAAGGAGGTCATCACGGACTTCAGGAAGCTCAGCACTGACCCAGTCCACCCAACATCAAAGGCGAGTGTGTAGAGAGTCTCCACACTCTTAGGTTTCTCAACATTTCTTCCAACCTCTCTGGACCAACAGCATTACAGCAGCAATAAATGGCTTTGTACACCTTATCAAGTCCAAAGGACGCCAAAGTGCTTTACACTACAGTTATTCATTCATCCATCCACACACTCACACACTGATGATGGCAACATATTACAGCTGCCCTGGTGATCAAGTGATCAAGATCAAAAAGGCTCAGCAGTGGCTATACCTCGAGAGACCTAAGGAAGCACAAACAAAACTCCAAGCTGCTGTTCATCTTCTACCGTTCATCCATTGAGAACCTGCTGACATACTGCATCACATGATAAGGCAGCTGTACTGTTGCAGAGTGTCAGAAAGGCAGCTCAGAGGACAATTGGCTATCCTCTCCTCTCTGTAGTGGACATTTACACCTTCCGTTGCCTCTGCAGAGCCAAGACCGTCACAAAGGACAACACCAACCCAGGCTTCGACATGTTTGACCTGCTACCCTCAGGGAGGCAAAGCCAATGCATCAAAATGAACAGACTCAAAAACTGCTTCTTGAATGCTGAACACTCACACACACTAATTATATGGTGGCTATATGTACATGTGTGTATCTACATACATTTAACAAATGAATAAATAATGTGAATCTCACCATGTAAATGTTGTATTTATTTTCTACATTGTTTGCGTTGTTGGAGGTGGCTTTAGTCTCAGTGTACAGTGACAAATTCAATTCAGCATGACGCCATACTTTCGGCAAAACATAAGCAAACAACGTTCGTATGTAAATGGTATAAATTAGCTGTATATTCATTTAATTACTGTCTAGAACTGAAAAAGTTTTTGTTGGACAATAGGGATCTTTTTTATGATTGTTCCTTCACAATGTCTTAAGATGCTTGACTCTGCACCGCCTTCTCTGAAGTTCAGTTCCTACTCCGAAATGTCAACAGATCGCTGGTTTATATCCAAGAGTGGGATGGCCTGTTCTGGCTACCCGATGGAGCCCCTACTAAGGAGCATACAATACTTGGACTCCTCCCAACCTATAACTGTACCACAATTGCATGGAGAAATGTTGACTCATATTTTTTGCTCAAAGAATATGTGCTTCTTTCTGTCCCTTTCGCTGTGACTGAATTGTGAAAGAAGGCTTTCATTTTTTCTTCTACGGTTTTAGAGCTTGTTACAAGAAACTTTTAGGTAGACTGAATTTCTTTAGTTTAGTGATTTTAAATCTAACTAAACGTTCTAGGCCGATTTTATGCCATGCACCTGTTTTTTTGTAGCTTGACGTCTTTAACTGTAAGAGGGTTCTAATCTCAATGAGGTATTATTCTACTAAAGTACAGTTTAAGGCTGCAGTATGTGACTTTTTCAAAACTGAACTTGGCTTGAAAATAAGCTCAGCCCATTTGCTCTCTGTGTCACGCAGTCCTCCTTCCACAGCCCCTCCCACACTTTGGAGTTAAATTTGTTTCAATTATTCAATAAAAAAAAAAATCTAAAAAATAAAATTGTGGTCAAACCTTTTTGAATTGTAATGATTTTTTAATATATCTTTTTAAATGTTCAAAGAAAATGTTATTTTCACCCTGGACAGGTCACCAGTCTGTCGCAGGGCAACACAGAGACAAACAGGACAAACAACCATGCACACACACACACACACACACCCACACACATACACACACACACACACACGCACTCACCCCGAGGCAGAATTTGGAAAGGCCAATTAACCTGACAGTCATGTTTTTGGACTGTAGGAGGAAGCTGGAGAACCCGGAAAGAACCCACCATGCACACATAGGGAGAACATGCAAAAAGCCCTAGGGGTAGGAATCAAACCCAGGACTATCTTGCTGCAAGGCAACAGTGCTACCAACTGCACCACTGTGCAGTCATTTAAAAAAAAGTAATAATTTTTTCTCTCATGAAGTGAAAAAGTTACTAGCAAAACAAACTTTTATTTGAATATGTCAGAATTTTTGGGCCTAAGTTTCAAACTTTTTGTCATGTCTATTGACCCACAAAAGACATGACAACAAATCAAATAAAGTTTATTTATTTTGGAAGAAAGATTAATTGCGAGATGTGTGATCCTTGTTTTGTGGGTGGGAAGCCGTGGTCATCACAATACAGAGTAGTTAGAGAAAAAGGTAAGTTGACGGTTAATTGGACAGATTGAATTCTGAGAAATTGAATGATATTACTTGGTTGGTAGAAGAATTTCTGCTAGGGGAGAAGTACTAGTGTCTGTGGGGATTTGGTCTCTTTGCAGGGAGTTCTTGAGATGATGCGGGAACCGGTGTTTGGTCTTAACAGAGTTATTTGGAGATGGATGGACGAAGCTCACGGTGGAGGGCGGACAGGTAAGTTCTTGGAGGAGTTATGAGGAGTCCGATAGCCAGCCATGAAATGAGGAACTGTCAGTGAATCTTCTGCTGAGAAGGAGATTGACTTGGGCAACCAATGAGTAAAATCCATGGCGTCACGAGAGGACACCAGAATGCGCTGAACTCAGGCTACTTAGTGGCTAAAATCCCAGGCGCCATGAAACACCAGAAAGGAGAGCAACAAGTAAGTGTTACAAGAAGAGATAATGGTTGAAAACTCAGGGACTAAACTCAGAGGCGCACAAAGTACCATAACAGGTGTCAAAGTGCTGCCATCCTGCTCCTCATATACTCCAAGATGATGACGTAGATTGATCACAGGTGTGCCTTCCAGGTAATAACCTCTTGGCACCATCTAGTGAATGATGAAAAAAGCAGTAGACACCAGAGACTTCCCATAAAGACTCAAAAACCCCAGTTCAAAGCACTTTTGGTTTTGATGTTCACCTTTCTTGGTTAAACTCAAAGAGTTTTGATTGCTAGAAACATGTAACATGTAACTCTAAAATGTATTTTCTTCCAAATGCAAAATCAAAAACCAAGCTGGTAGATCACAGGCCAAAGTAGTAGTAGTTTTCTTTCTTTTTTTTTTGAGTTAATTGGTGTGTGTGTGTCTTGTATTTATTTTGAATTGTATGTAGTATGCTTTTTGCTGTGTTATGTTATGAAATTTATTAAAAGCTTTTATGTTATTAAATTGGTGTTCTCTTAATCTCCTCTAGTATGACAGGCAGAGTGCAGCTGAAGCTGGACAGGCTTGTAGGTGTTACGGGACAGAACAATTCTTCCAGCTCCTAAAGGACCAAACATGAGGGAGCATCAAAACCAAAAGTTTGAGAATTGCAACCAAAAAATTCTGACATACAGTTTATGTTCTGCAAAAAACTTTCACTTTAGGAAAAAATTTAGTGATTTTAACTTTTAAAAATATTTTTTTTACAACAAAATGCTTTTTGTTTAAAAAAATCAATACAATTCAAAAAGTTTTGACCATAATTATATATATTTTAATTGAGATAAGTTTTTGGTATGAAACACAAACCTTTTTTTTTTTTTGCTTTGATCACAATTTAATTTTTTGAGATTTTTTTTGATTGAGTAATTGTGAAACATATTTAACTCCATATCGCACAGAGAAGACCAGTGTGCACGCAGACACACTGCAAGAACACTGGTACATATATATATATATATATATATATATATATATATATATATATATATATATATATATATATATATATATATATATATATATATATACACACTGAATAGACACTGAATTAGCAATTTACATTTTACACTTTGCATTGTGGACATTTCATCTGTATGTTATATGACTACAGTTTTGACATTGAGTCCATTGGCTCCAATGAGGAATTTACACAAAAACAACACTTTCTGATTCAAGTGCAAATGTTGCAGGCATTTTTGTTGTACTGTATTTCATTTACTGTTTATTTTTAACAGGCGCAGTCCACAATAAAATAATTTCACCAAATTTAAATGTATTTAATCCAAAAATTTGTTCGGACAAATAAATCTAGGTATGGTCTAATATTTATGCTGAGTTTGAGTTTGCAGGTAATGTTAAAATGAATCGCCATCCAGCTACAACTTTCTTATGGATATCACTGCATCAGTGCTGCATCAAGCTACAGAGTAATATTTGATTTGCACCATCACAAGAATTTTGCTGTATCTTTGCTGGGGTTTTTTTTATTAAAAATGAAAATAAATCAAACTGATACTTGCTGGTCAATCAGAGATGTGGCCAACTCTGGATCAATTTTCAGTTTTTTGAGAGCTTTTAGCTCCTATGAAGTGCAGCTCCAATGTTTACCCTCATCTTATTTTGGGCTATGTCCAATTCTCTATTATGAGCTTGTCTTTCTTCTTTTGTGTACTTGTCTTAGCTTTTGGACCAGGTACTATTCCAAAAATTTGACATTTTCATGTAATATTGGTTAAATAGGAGGAATTATTCTGGCCATATAATTTTAGAATTAGGATTAAAAACTTCCACTACCCCATAGAGTTCAATGTTGTTAATTGCAGTCTTCACTGTCTTGTGTTCAAACACAGCAATATACAAAAGCATTGTTACATGAATTCTATTCTAACACTGAGATTTACTGTAGGTCTGTTGTTCAAAATGACCTAAGCTAAAATGTTGTTTTCATTGGTGACAGATTCACATAAAACAAATGTTACTATCTTAACTGCTGAAGCATGAAGTGAAAATTAGACTGTTGTGGATCCTCAGGCTTCTACATGTTCATTGAGACATCCAGGCCCGGGCTGGAGGGGGACAAAGCCCGTCTGATGTCCCCAATTTTCAACATAAACACAAAAAGTGTCTCCTCCTCTTCAGCCAGTAACAATCCCATCTACTGCTTTACCTTCTTCTACCACATGTTTGGGAAACATATAGGTGAGAAAGCAAATCGATGCTCATTCCTTCTGGTATGACACATGAGAGAGAAAATTGGTTTGCAATACACTTCCTAATCTCATTGTTTATTTATCTTGTAGGAGCTTTGAATATTTTCTTGCGGTTGAAAGGTCAGATGCTCACAGATGCCTTAGTCTGGAGTCTTACTGGTAACCAAGGAAACTACTGGCAGCAGGCAAGGGTTAACATCCATCCAACCACAACCTTTCAGGTACAGTGCAGTACACAGCTGGCTAGTGGTAAAGTGAGTATGTTTAGTTAAAAGGGGCAAAGTCCTTAGACTTTATGTTAAATGAACATTTGGAATTTATATCATTTTATTCTTTACTCAATGTCATTTATGAATGAATTATTTTAAATATTGGAGGCCAAAAAACTTGTCATTTTGGAGAAAATCTCATCAACATCAATATTTCCACTAAATAAGAGATTAAAATAAATAGCATGTTTGATAGAGGAAAAGCCAGCAAAGAGGCTCTGTGCTCAAAGATGCCAGAGAGCCCCAAACTACTTTTTTAACTTGAAACAATAATTAAATTTCACATAATTATCACAGTAGGAGATAATTATGAATGTGTCATGAAATATATTTGTCCTACTTGACATTTGTTGTGAATGACATATACTTGCAAATAAAGGAGGTAATTAGTCCCAGTTTGTCGTTTATTGAAATTTCAGAAATTACAGCGGCTATAATGAACCACAACAAAGTAACACACTAACCCTAACAAAGGTACAAAACCTCAACAGGTGATCAAATCAAAAGCACTTGTACCTGTGCTCCACTAGCTGACCAGAGATTAAAAACAGTCTGTTACCATATCCAGTTTTCAAGCTTCATATTTATTTTACAATTTGCAATAATTGCTTCCCTGAACACAGGTTTTTTGTTAATGGAACTGAAACATCAAGAATTGCACAACACCTTGTTGAAACAATAATTACTGAGATTATTATTTTTGTTGGGCCAATAATTTGAACATGTTTTGTTGATTTTATTCATTATTTTAAAAAGTTGTAGTGCTTTGTAATGATTCACCAGAGTGACACAGTATTCAGGCACCACAAAGGAGAGAGCAGAAAACTCAAATTTATTGAAAAGCAGCTTGAACTGGTTTTTTATTCATTTGGAGCGTCAGCTGCAGCTCTCTGAAGGGGGGCGGAAAGGAGAGATTGGTGACTGGATAAATAGCAATGAAGGGATCAGGTAGTGTGTAGGAAGTGTGATCGCCAGCCTGGCTTGGCGATCAGGTCCTCGTGTGATCAGCTGAGGGACGAGGAGGAGAGCAGATGCTGGGCGATCAGCAACAGTCTGACAAGGATGAGGCAAAAGGGGCAAATCCGATGAACAAAGCGTGGTAGTAACGATGAGGGCGAGATAAGAGTGCTGGAAACTACTTGGTGAAGCGTTGGATAATCTGTCAGCATGGTGTGGCTGAGAGAGGATTAAGAAGGAAACAAACAGGGAGTAGCACACGAGTAACGGGAATTAGGGGCATAACATGAATTGGCTCAAACAAAAACACAGAACACCATGTGAACATCACAAGTTTGGGATTTTAGTGAATATTTTGATAAGCACTTCAGAAGAGGATGTGCTGGTATCCCCTTCCTGACAGGTTCAGTTTTTCCCCTTCTGATCAATCGCGATCGATTTATTGAGCACCCCTGCTTTAGACCAACATTCAGCTTATTAATATCGGAGTAAGACCTTGAGAGACTCCTGTTACTTTACAAATCTAGAACAAACTTTGAAAGTACCATCTACTTAACCTAGAACAAGAATAAAACATGGAGAGCAAACATTCAGCTTTATTTCATGCAAATCTAAAACTTAACCCAGAACAACTGGGACCAACAGTTTTATACCTCATTGATCTTACCAAAAATGGAGAACTAACATCAGAACAAGAATCCAGAGAAACTCCTGCTAGTTTATAAATTATGGACTAACTTATTAAACATGGGGAACCAATATGTAGTTTTAAACTTTTACCTTTTTCTCTTTCTTTTGGTTTTCTGGTTTTGTTTGTTTTTCCTTCTAATTTATGGAAAGCAATTTGAACTGACATTACTGCAGTTTTTTGTTGTTGTTTTTTTGCTGCTGTAATACCTGAATTTAAGGATATTTCTATTCTATTCTTTTACTGTAGGTGGTGATGGAAGGAGTCAGAGGCTCGGGTATTGAAGGCAATATCGCTATTGATGATGTTACCATTGAGGAGGGCGAGTGCAAAGACTCTCCATCTAACAGTGAGGATTTTATATTTTAATTTAACTATTTAAAATGTCAAACTGCAACATTAACCATAGAACCAGTAAATCTGTCAGATTTATCCATTGAATTATTTCCTGTTCAGAGAGTCATGTTTAATTGATGGAATATTAAAATCAGATGAAATAAATTCAACAACAAATGCAGATCAGTTAACTGTCAGATGTGTGGATCACCATGCACCAGATTTGTATTGTTAGAGTTTATAGAGTTTATATCCAAAGCTTAAATTAAGCCAAATCCTATCAGAATAAGATCCCAGAACTCTCTTATTTTATTTATATTTGCATTTTGGTAACTGTTTGGATTCATTAAGTTGCAAGCCTACTAATATTAAAGTTATGAATACATTTGACTGACTTGAACCAAAATAAACTATATTGGGCACATAATCTCCAAATAATTGCATAAAACATTAATTTTTAAAAGCTTATGAGCTTTTTAATACCATCACATAAGATCGCATAAAATCTGGCCCTTCAAACTGTGCATATAACTTAATTAATGACTCAAAATATTTTAAAAAGTTTCTGTCTAAGCAAGATTGCATCAAGTCACTGACTTGTATTCACTCCTTTTGGACAAGCATAGTGACAGTAGATAATGGCTTGCCTTGTGACATTGATTTTACAGTATTCTCTCACACTGAGCAAGTATGAATCAATAGTGAAGAGGAAAAACTCTTCAAAACACTTAAAGAAGAAACTTTAAGCAGACCCTGACTCAGTACAAGTCACCATCTGCCACAATAAAGCAGATACACAAAAAAGAAACAGACTGATGTTGGATTACTTTCTAACGCAAATGCAAAGTAAAAAAGTGAAAGGAGAGAGGCACATTTTTGACAATAGTCAGCTGATGCCTTACTCCAAGGAAGTTATTGGGTGTGGCTTATAGAGTGAAAAAATATAACCAGTTGAAAGAACAACAAAAAATAATCAAATAAGAAAGTGACATGGAGCATCACTTTGTGTATTTTGCAATGTAATTCAATGCTTTACATAAAGATCTGTCACGTGAACAAATTTGGCTGATTGTCTCCAAAATGATTGTGATAAACAAAAATATTGTTTAAAGACCTTTTAGACTAATTTCATGGAAATAACATAATAATGTATGTGATTTCCTGCCATTAATAGATACACTTTATTTTCAAAAGAACACTTAACACTAGAACTGCAAAAACAAAACGACCAAAAACAAAAGTAAAATGGATTCTCAGTCTCAATGAACAAATAATGTACTTGAATAAAACCTAAATAACATAGAGCCAAAGTGGATATTAAAACTACATTCGACCAAAAGAGTGCACATTATGAAGTTTATAGTATATTTTATCGATTGTTGAAAAGGCCCAGGTTTTCATCGTTTTTGGGGACCAATAAGCATCCTTAAAATGACTGGTGCAATACCTGGAGTACGGCAACCTTTCTCCTTTGGGAGCTGCTGGCTCAAAGCAAACAGCGGGAAGAGCGAGTGCTGGAGGAGTATTTATACTAGTAAATACTATTAGTGAATACCACTAGTATTTACTACTAGTCTAGTGTATTGTCACGCCCAGGCACTGATGGACACAGGGACTGAACAGAGAATACAAAACTAGGTGTTTATTGGGAGAAAAGCTTGTTCTTAAGTCAGGCAGGCCAGGGTCAGAACCAGGGAATCCAAATCGGGATCAGGCGTCTCAGGTCACAAGGTCAGACGGACAGGGGGTCGAAGCCAGGAAGTCCTTATCCAGCGGGGAGAGCCAGGGATCAGGGACAGGAGAGGAATCTAGGCAGAGACAGACAGGTTAGATACTGGGCAAAAGCTCTAGTTTCTGTAGCAGGCCTGAAGGTGTTACTGCTGAGGGTTTCACAACAATCTGACGCCGTGCAGGAGGAGTTCCGTCCTAATATGGCAGCAGCTGAGGATCAGGCAGATGCCAGATCAGCTGCCACTGAGCTGGTCACAGCTCAGTGGCAGCTGTGACATGTATTTACACTAGTCTAGTATAAATACTAGTATTTATACGAGGCGAATGTTTCTCGTCTGAAACATTCGCTGGAGATAGACACCAGCACCCCTCCCAACTCCTTAGGGACAAGAGTGTAAGAAAATGGATGGATGGACATAATAATGTCCATCCATCCATTGGACATGGATGGATGTATATCATATATATATATATATATATATATATATATATATATATATATATATATATATATATATATATATATATATATATATATATATATATATATATATCATAATACTGCCTGATCATATTAATGTCAGGACCACTAACAATAGTTATCAGTAATAATTTACCATATGGTTGATTGCTATTATGTGATCAGAAGTTTTTACCTCACAGAGTTTTAAGTTTGATTCCCTTTTGGAGTTTTTCTCTGTGATTCTAAACTGGCCACAAGTGACTGAAATAAACAAAATCAAACTGATGGATTGTTGCAGTAAACCTGCAGCTGTACTGAGTACCTTGAAATTTTCCTTTAAATAAAAAAAGAAAAGTTATTGTTTTATTATCTAACCATCTGTTCTATTAGCAAAATTGTGGAAAAGAAAATATCTTTTGTGTCAAAACATATTATACACACACAGCTGTCGGTCTGATGCTTGAGGTGGGGAACCCCAAAGCCTCAGTCTTATTGGTCAGTATGCTTTTATTTATTTCACGGCTTTGCGTTTTTCTGCAAGCTAAAAATGAACCAGTTGGGTTTGAACCTCCCGTTGTCTACGTTCAGCCTGAGCTTCCGACAGTCTGCGCGGTTCTGGCGGGTCGCAGGTTTATTTGCTTTTTTTGTGGTTTTGCGAACTGAACAGCTGATGGGTCCCGCTGGCTGACACCAGCAGATGTGGAAAAAATAAAGGTCCAACACAAAACTATCACTGCACCTGACCTGCAAGAGCACAAGCACCTCTCCAATGCACAAAAATCAGCACAAACCTGAACCAAGAGCAGCGGACTTTTTAAAAATAATAACTAAATAATAAAGACATGGAAGCGAAGCCTCCTCATGTGGATCAAGGAAAGAGGACGGTGTTGATTCCCAGATGTGCGCTACGAATAAAATGTGTTGGCACAATTTATTTAATTTTTATTCACAATTTGTTAATAGTAAATAGGGTTAAATAATAAAAACTCCAGAAGCTATTCTTTTCTTTCTTTACTTAAAGGAAAATGTGAAGGTACGCAGAGTGCAGCTGCAGGTGCTGCTGCGCTCCGATAGTTTCCTGCAGGCGCCTGCGCAGTTCTGAACTTTAAAATAAATTGCTTTACGTATAAAACTCTTTCTTGCTGTTAAACGTTTTTTTAAAAATTTCCATCTTTTGAACTCTGAATATAAACAAACGTCATTACTTCAATGCAAAAACATTTAATTAAATAATTTTTTGGTAGTGCTCCCTAATGATAATGGCTATTTTTAGAAGTGGCTCCGCGGGCGACTGACAGGGTCCCTGCGGGCACCAGGTTGGTGACCCCGGATCTAATTTATGTTTGTTTCTATTTAATTCTCTGATTGAAACCTCTCTTTCCTGAATATATTTATTACATTCTAGGAAAATATGCTGTCTTGTTTCAAACTCTTCACAATAACTAGACATACCTGTACTATGCTTGTTAATTATTTTCAGAGTACTATTTAACCCCATATACCCAAACCTTAATCTGGACATAACATCCTCTTCTTTTTTATTCTTATTACCTGTCCTACAACAGGAGGAACTGAAAATGAGTTGTGCTCAAATACTGGGAAGGCTGATTGCTGAACAAAGAACAGATGACTGATTAATTGGTTGCAGGTGTGAGGAGAAAATAGAATCAAATCAAATCAATCAAATTTTATTTGTATAGCACATTTCAGCAGCAAGGCATTTCAAAGTGCTTCACATCAAAAACAGAAAAACACAAAGTCATGCATCACGGAATAAACAACACATTATACTATATATTACATTTCAAATAAAACTCTAAACAGGTGTGTTTTTAGTTGAGATTTAAAGGAAGTCATGGTTTCTGCTGTTTTACAGTTTTCTGGAAGTTTGTTCCAAATTTGTGGTGCATAGATGCTGAAAAAAAAAAAAAAAAAAATCAATAGGGTTCACACTTCGTTCAAACCAGACATACCCTATAACATATTTTCTTTTCAAACTCCACTAAAGTTTATTTTACACTTCAGGTTGCAACAAAACAGACTACAACCCATCTATTATCACAGTTGCTTAACATTAGTGAATTAATGACCCATAAGTATTAAACTGGTGAGTCAATAACAACAAAAATGGCCCATATGTCAGATATTATTTGCTAGCAAGCAATTAGTGTGCAAAGGACAAATAAAATGTCCTAATTTTTTGGGAGACAGTGAAGGTGTATCTGCATTCATCAAGGTGGGTGATAAATTAATACTTCAGAAATTAATGCAGCAGGTTGAACCATATGCAATGTGAGACAGAGAGGCGCTGTGCAAAAATAAAACCTCAGGAACTCCCATACACAAAACTGCATGTGGGAGTTGTGCTGGACAAAGAGAGGTGATTTGCACTGGTGGCAAGTTGTAAATGATTTCATTAGCCTGATTGTAAATAGTTTAAATAGTTGCCTGCTGACAATTACTCTATAGGTTTTGGTATTACAGTTGGAAAAGCAAAAGAATAGTTTTGTCAAATATGTTAGTATTCATCAATAGTAAGGAAACAAATTCTTGTCATTTGAGGTTTGAGATGTGCTTTTCTAGAATAGTTGTCTATACAGCACACATCATACTGAAACGATATATGACATATTTACCCTGTAATTCTCTCTGTCTCTTTTTCCTCCAGATCTGAAGTCACTTGCTTCACTGCCATCGTATTATGTGTCTCTACTCTACATCAGTCAAAGTCTGCTGCTGATTGGCTGGCAGAGGTGACACCATCAGCACCTTTTCCGTCTTCTAATTACCTCTCATGCAAGCTTCCATGACTTTTGACTGTGGCCCAAGGGATCTGTTTTACACCTCACAATTGGAAACAGAGCAGAACTGTATTTGCTCTATCAAGGGGAAAATAAATTTCTCCTTTAGTCACATCTTATTTGCTTTTTATCTTGTCAACAGTTCAACCTATGATAGGTTTAGTTTAAATCTACTGCTACAGGAAGCTGAAGCTACTTGTCAAAAGATTCCTTTAAAATTGATTGGTATGTAAGAACATCATACTCAGTATGTATTTATGAAATGATTTATGCTATGAAATATAGTCTGCATCAGCAGTCTGTTGTGTAGCATTGCCCATCACACTGAACAGTCTGCTGCACTACAGAAAGAAGTCCAAACAGTGGTACATGTCACTGTAGTAGCTGTCAAGTGAAGAGGATTATATAAAATTAATAAAAAGCTTAAGGTTTAAACTTTTTAAACATTTGTTTAAAGGTTATTCGATAATTTAGTGAGGCCCTATATCATGAACATGGCTTCAGTCAGCCTTTAATGTGGACACTTGAAAACACATATCACCACAAAACCCAACTGCATTAGTTTGTACTGTAACACTTTTAATTGGTTCAAATATTCTCAACAGGACAATGAGTTTTTATGTAGATATACCAAATCAAACAAATAATTACTTACAATCACAAAAACACATTTCCCATAGCTTCAATGGAGTCTCAATGTACCCCGTCTGACATCACTTTCCAGGTTAAACAAACTTGGAAACCATTTCTTGCTTAAACTGGTGGTTAAGAAAAAAAGCAGTTGGAAGTTCACCGATCATGTTTTGTCTATCACTTATTTGCTTCCCCTCACCTTTCTGTGCTCGAATTCTATAGATCAGCTGTACTGTATTGGACACACAGTCTCTTTACTCTTTTAATCTAGAGAGGTTCAGAGAAAAAAAGTATTTTCAGAGTATATTTTAATGTTGGTCCGTCTGTGTTAGACATGAAAACAACAGCTCACCTTCTGCCATAACATGAAGTGCCTTAAAATGAGAGAAGATTGCCCAAAGACTGGCATCAATACTTAGCCGGTGTCAGACATTATTCTGCATGATGAAGGGCAATTTAACCAATTAGCTTACACAAGATTTTGTATTAGTATGGAAATAGTTTCTCAACTTGTTTCTTTTTCTTTCTGTTGGGATATTAGCATAAGTGTTACCATAAGCCATATAAGCCATATGAATGGCTGTGAGAAAAATGGCCAGGAAATGGATTCTTTATATTGACACCAACTTTTTCAATTAACATTTTCTATATTAAATGTTTTGCGTTTAATATAGAAAATGCAAAACATATTAACTGTTTGAGGAACTTTGAATCTGTTAAAAAACAAAGGATTTCATATTTTTAAATCAATGGCATCCAAGCCTTGGACTTAGTGTATAAGTGCGTTGAATCACTTCATATTTTTCAAAGTCAATTACAACATG